CCTTCCCTCCCTCCTTCTCTATCTTCTGATTTTCTACAACTGTCTTTTGAAAATCGTTGCTTAGCCGGGCCAGGTGTGGCTCAGCGGTTGAGCACTGACCTAGGATCCAGGAGATTGCGAATCAATTCCCAGTCAGGGCACATGCCCGGGTTGCAGGCTCGATCCCCAGTAGCGGGCATGAAGGAGGCAGCTCATCAGTGACTCTCTCATCATTGATGTTTCTAGCTCTCTCTCTCCCTCTCCTTTCCTCTCTCTGAAATCAATAAAGATATATTTAAAAAACAAACAAAAACACCATTGCTTACACGTTGTCTTTGCCTAGGATCTTTTTTAGTGAGTGTCTTAACACATTTCAAGTAAAGGTGTGAATTTCTCTTTCACCATAATATTGGTTATCTGGGTATTTCTCTTTCACCATTGATATTTAAAATATAACAAAATCTTTTTTTCTTCCCTTTCTCATGTTCTTTTCTTACCTTCATTCTGAACAAGTTAGACAGGTGTTCTTTATCATACCTCATATTTGAAATGTCCATTATAAATCACACAGTGTATTTTTTTTGGAAGGTAAGACTAAGGACCACAGTAAACTCTGTGCTCATTAAGAGGAACAGATTTCTCTTCATTGAGATACGAAATTTCTTATAAGTAGTGATAGGTTCTTTCAGTTTTGGAATTTCTATCAACTTTGTATAAGGAACATCATTGAACTAGAATTCTTAATTCTGTGGTTTATTAACTTAATCTGTAGCATTGAACCTTTATGGGTTTCCAATTCCTGCTCTCTAAAATATGAACATGTGCCTTGTCATACAGATGTATTAGATAAAAGTACAGAATGTGTTAACAAGGAACGACTATTGCTGTTATTGTTATATATAACTATATTTCTGTGGCATGACTATTGCTGTTATTGTTATGTATAACTATATTTCCGTGGAGTGACTATTGCTGTTATTGTTATGCATAACTAATTTACAGGGAGTGACTGTTGTGAGTTGTTACATAGACTGCTATGTTTACGGAATGATTGTTGTGGTTATCGTTACGTAGCATCACCCACAGTTGATTCCTTCCTCTATTAAAGATTCCAAATCTATGCAAGACGGCTGGGGGGAGAGCGACGGGCCGGTGGCGGGAGCTCGGCACCCCAGCTGGGAGGAGGAGGAGGACGGAGTCTGGGCCGCCGGCTCTCAGGGAAGCGCCTCCTGCCACAACGCCGCGAGCTGGGGACAGGGAGGAAAGAAGCAGATGAAGGTAGCCGCGCTGGGACCCAGGCTCCCCTGCCACCCGCGCTGGGAAGGCGGGCGGAGGGTTTCTTATGGGAGAAGCAGGGCGCGAGCCCTGAGGCCTGAGCAAGGGGAGCGTGTTTTCGGTAACGAGCAGCTGCCCCCTCAACGCCTGTTCCCTTCCCCGTGCCTTTGAGCTGCGGAACTGCTGCGGCGCAGGGGGGTTGAACGGGCTTGTCAAAGATCAGAGTTCCCTTTTTGCTTTTAGTTTCCATATTAGAATTATTCTTCAGAAGCTTTCAAGGCACACTTCATAAATGCCTTATGCTTTTGCCTTCTAAAGCCAAGGAAGCCCGCCTGGCCGGGCGTGGCTCAGCGGTTGAGCGTCGACCTAGGATCCAGGCGATCGGGGTTCGATTCCCGGTCAGGGCACATGCCCGGGTTGTGGGCTCGATCAATGACTCTCTCATCATTAATGTTTCTATCTCTCTCTCTTCCTCTCCTTTCTTCTCTCTGAAATCAATAAAGATATAAAAATAAATAAAGCCAAGGAAGCCCTTAGAGTAAATCCCCATGAATATGTCTAGAAACCAAAAGTAAGATAGCTTCTCCGGTGGTAATCGGCATAGCTGGTTTTTATCTAATTCAGGAAATCCAAGGCCCAGAGCCTTCTCCCAAAAAAATGAAGTGCCACAGCGTAACCCTCTGCAGCAGCTAGATGATCTGTCTACATCCTGTACCAGTTGTGTTTGTAAACCTCTCACTTTCCATATCTTAGAATAGCTCAGTGTCTCATTGGGTTTGCATAGTTTGATGAGGACTTTGGTTTTCAATCTAAAACAATAGTCTTTGAACCTGAACCACTCTCAGCAGAAGCACTCTTTTTTCATTCCAATCTTTCATTCCACAAATAAATTGATGGAAATAAGAAATGGGCAGCCATATACTTACTTTCAGGATGGGAGCCTTGCTGCCCTGTGAAACACTTCACAGCTGATACCCTCCCAGGTTTCAAATACCAGATGCCCTCTTCAGCTGGCTAAGGGCCGTGCCTTTATCCCCTTGGCCTACAGGATATTAATTTTGTTCTTCATATAGTGATTCTTATAAGAATACAGGTTGTTGCTATTAGACATTTTGTGTGTTTTTTTCCTTTTCGTGACCAGAATAAGAAAATAAAAGTCCTTAAAAAGAAAAAACTGTAAGTGAATTTTTCCTTTTTAAGGACTTTTATTTTCTTACCCTGGTCACAAAAGGAACTATTCTAAAAGGGAAATTGCTAGCATGCAAACATTATAATTTAGAAAATCTGATATTGATTGTATATTTTTCCAGTTACTTTTAATTCAGCGTGACAAAAAGAATGAAAGCATAGCTATATCTAAGGCTTATTACTCTTTTAGGCTAATATATAAAATGCAAAAATAAACAGTTAAAGAGGAATAATTAAGGTTCCAAAAGGTACGCTCTCGATTCTACATTTTCAATCAGTACTTATGTAACTCAGATATGAAGTTAAAAAAAATAAATTATTTGGTTCTGAGGCTACATATTTCATTCCTGTAGTGCGCACTAAAAGGAGGAAACAATGATTCATGGATGAATCCTCTTGCCAAACAGTTTTCAAATATGGGATTACTGGTAAGTTTTATTTTTTCCTATGTGCAGTGTATCCCGACTTTTAATTTTAGTACAAATTTTAAGATCACTGCCACATATAGTATACAAAATTACAGATTTAGAAACTGGTTAAACAGTGTTCCTGATTTGGATTAAATTTGTTTGGATTAGATTTGTTCTCTGTTCTTAATGAAATGCTCCAATATTTAAAGGTTATGGTTGTTTTTTTAATTTGTAGTCCTTGTATCCTTTTCTTTAGGCAGCTAGGGAAGAAAGAAACAGGCACTTAAAATTTATATAGTTTTCCCAACTACTGTACCAGTTTCGATAATATCATTTTTAAAAAAGAACAACAGCAAAATAACTAGAGAAATTATTTGTGATTAATTATAGAGGGAATTCTTGTAGAATTTCTAATTTTTTTATCTCTTGGGAGCATTATGGGGACACCCTTTCCCTGGTTGCCAAAAGACAAATGGCTTTGACTTGGCTGCACATTTCAGGATTTGATGACTTGACAAGTCACGAGAAGTAGTTGTCATCATTTGGCTGCCACTCATGAAATTTGATCCTGAGCTGACTGGAACTTGAGGACAGGGATTTATTTCTACATGCAGCTGTTTAGCGAGGCTCTGTCTGTTGATTTACTGAAGCTAATTCTATATGAAAATTAAATTTAGGAATATAGGCACCAGCAGCTCAAATTAGTCATATTAAAAGTTACTGTCTTTATTCCAAGTGTTACTGTCTTTGTATAGTGCCAGTAGTAAGACGTGACTTACAAGAATAATGCCATTTCTTTTCTGATTCACACATTTAATTCAAACCTTTAATTTTCTCTCTCTGTTCTTTACTTTTCAGAGTCAAACTGAAGATAATCCAAACAGCAAAATGGATTTGTCTGTAGGTGTGTATCACTCCTCTAGTACGAATGGAATATTGTTCTTAATAACACCCTGTTGGGATCCCCCGCTCAGTTTGAATTGGGATGAGTGCAGTTCAGTGGACACGTATTAAACATTCACTCTGTGGATGGTACTGTGCCAGACACTAGGAAGGGGTTGCAAACTCAGATGCCAAGAAAGTAATGTAAACTTACTTGTAGTGAGTGATGTGTGTCAAGTTTTAGAAATCAGGACCTGGAGGCCACTGGTTAGCTGTGGAGAGCGGATGTACCACCTAAAGGAATCAGCCTTGCTCGGCTCTTAGCAGTTGTTGCCATGAAGGAGCTCAGGCTCAGCTTTGCCAGGTCTTCTGTTTTTTGAAGAGAGGCCAAAAGAAATTCAGATGTATATTGATATCCTGATTTTTAAATATTGGAAGCTAATTCAGGTTTTTAAAAATCCTGTGTGTGGCCAAACAAAATATGTCTGGCCCTGCCAGACTCAGCTCTCAGGTTGCCTGTCCTGTCTGCCCTGGGATGTTTCATTATTGACAAATTCTCCCATTACAACTAGAGCAGATGCAGGGTCAGCCCTTCGTCTGTGGGATCTTCAAAATGATGCTATTGCTCACTCTGAGGACCTTAAAAAGACTCAAACCAAGAAAATAAAACAGTCCTGGGTAATATAATAAGGGCATAGTCTTTGTTCTATAATATTTTAAATATGAGAATAACTAAGAAATAAGCTTCCTGGGGTGCTGATCATGTCGATGTACACTAGCAAATTTATAGAGCTGTGAAAGAAAAGTAGAAATGATCATTGCACCTGGGAAACTACATTGCACAAATAATGTGGCACACCGTCCCCTGTGTTCAAGTTCTCAATTTTAGAAGCAACAGTTACACCTCTGATCTTTTTATTCCTAATAACTGTGTTCCACAACCCGTCATTTATCTCTTAACAGATGCTATAAGAGTAACAACAGAATTTGTTACTCTCACTGGGGACATTTGAATTTATGAGCAAGATGTACTCATCAAACATATCAATAACCAGTCTAAATTTTTTAAGTCAGATTTTTACCAGGTTAGCCCTAAGGTTCTCTTTCAGTCTTCCATAGAAAACAAACTCTAACTGATACATATTGGGTTGTGTGGTGTTTTGGTTTTGGTTTTGTGTGTGTGTGTGTGTGTGTGTGTGTTTAATTAAACAAAAAGGACCCACATGTGTTTCAGGGAGGATCACCAGCAGACTGAACCATTGAGAGCTCTTCTAGTCTTATACCCAGCACCCCAGGGAGGAAAGTGGGGCAGGTCACTCTTGATCATGAGGGAGACATTGATTCTTGAAATTTTTACTTCTTCTGTGGTACCTTTCAGGGAGCCTTACAGATAAAAAATTTGATGTGGACAAGCGAGCAATGAATCTCGGGGATTTTAATGATATCATGAGGAAGGATCGATCTGGGTTCCGTCCACCTAATTCCAAAGACATGGGAACCACAGATAGTGGGCCTTATTTTGAGAAGGTGAGTTGAATCCTTTGTTTAAGATAATTCATGAGAACCACTTTGGTTTCTATTTGTCTTTTGATAATTACTTCCAGGAGGAAGCATAGAATCACTGAACTAAATTAATGAACAAAACATAAATATCACCTGATTTAAATGGTGACGTGAAAACTATTGATGTCAACAGGTGATTAGGCAGGAGCTGTAGTCATCTGTCTCTAGGATGTGGCTATGAGCATTGTGAAGAAGGTCTCAGCTTTGGAAAATGTATGAAGTTTGGAGGGGAGAAATTACCCGACTTTACTAGTAGGGGAAATGCGCACACAAAACATGTAGAAGTTGTTTTAGAGACAAATTTATTCTGAATTTTATTTTTTTGCTACTTTTTGTACCGTTACAAATTAAATTTCAAGATCTTATGCAAACACTCTTTGTCTCCTAAGGCCTTGGCTTCTAGCTGTCAAGATAACTCAAAACTTTCTCCTTTGCTGTTTCTAAGAGAGTTCTTTTGTGGTCTTTTTTCATTTCTCTGGTGATCTATTTAGTTACAGTGATAGAATTTCAGATTCTCAACCACCTGATTTAAACAAGTCATGTATACCCATTTGTTTCGATTTTTAACATTTCTAATGGAGATTATTCCTTGATTCAGAATAGCAACTTGCAGTGTTCGTGGTCTTCAGAAAGCAGTTAAAACCAAGGTTTTTATATCTGGCACATTTTTTACGCCATTGATGCTGGTCCAGACAGCAACATGTTCACAAGATTACTCTGGCTTCTATTTCAGCAGCTGCAAAGAGTAATCAATATTAGATGCATAAAAATAAAGTGTCTGGCAATTTTTGTCTTAGTGCAATGGACAGAATGTGTTACTAACTTAAGAGGATAAGAGAAATCTATATCAAAGAGGATGACAGATGGTGTCTGTTGGGCAAAGTGTGATGATTATTATCAGATCCAAATTTTATCCTGGTTTGTTGCTAATATACTCTAACATTGTTTATTCCTAGTGTTTTCTCTTCCCTTCTTGCATTCTGTTGCTTCACTAACCAACACTCATTGTGATTGGCTAACTACTACTTTTCAGCTGACTTTGCCTTTCTCCAATCAAGATGGGTGCCTTGGGGATGAGGCTCCCTGCTCTCCCTTCTCCCCTTCTCCCAGCTACAAGCTGTCTCCCTCTGGTTCCACACTACCCAACGTCAGCCTTGGAGCAATCGGCACAGGGCTCAACCCCCAAAACTTCGCTGCTAGACAAGTAAGGAGGCCTCTCAAATTTATAACTGCTTGGCTGTGGCCTTGCCTTGGCCCTGGTCTGCAGTCTATTGCATCATTTGTCTGTCTTGGGAAATTTGTTGATTACTGAATGCACAGAATGATATTAAGTATAGGCTTTAGACCTTTCAGCCTATAGAACCCATCTCTCTTCATATTCCTCAACATGGATTTTATTTTAAATCTGTTTCTTTTGTCTTCTCATTTTTGGTTGTAAGTTCACATTTAGGAATGAGGCTCCCTGTTCTCTAGTTAACTAATAACTACCTAAGGAAAATGTTAAAGAGGCTACAGAGCTACCTTATATCATCTAATTTAGCAACATATTTGCCATTTTTAACATTAAGTGTCAAGTACTAATATTTTTGAGGTCTTTTCAATTTAATAAAACTGCTGATTGGAAAATAGCAAAACTAGTAAGATTAAGTATTTGAGGGTTACAGCATCTTAAAATCCAGTGTCTTAAGTATGAAATATAATATTTACCCAGAGAAAGTTAACTTTATTAGATAACTAAGCTTTCAAAAGACTGGATGCTTCTCATACGTGGTAGTGTTTCCTTTAGCCTGGAGCAGTCCCTTTCCTAGGGTCTTATCTGTCAGTCCTCCGAGGAAAGGCATGCCATAGAAACAAGACTGGCAGGGCTGGCATGGTGATGCCCACTTGCTTTTGCAGGACTGAGGGGATGTAGCAGGCCTCTGTCGGTCACCCCACAGGAGTTCTGTTGTATTTTTTGTGGAGAAAACCAGGAATTTGGAGATAATTCCTTTGTGACAGTGACTCCAGTGATATTTTCCTAGTCATAGTTCTGTGAACATGCACTTGTCACTGTGACTTTCACCTCGAGATCTCAGGGAAGGACATGGTTGCATTCAATTTATTTCCACATGATGACTTTCACATATAAAGAATAGCATAAAACACCTCTTAACACCATACTCCTCAGGATGCATATAGGTCTTTCGTATGTTTTTTATTTATTGCCTTAGCACATTTTTTAAAATGGATTATATTATATCCATGTGTTCATTTTGGTTATCCCTTGATTGGGATTTATAGGTAATGTTTTTTTCCTTTTATGTTTCACTTTCTCTTAATGTTTCCACAGAGGACATGGATATGTATTATGTAAACATAGAAGAAACAATTATATCAGTGTTTTGAAGGGGCTCTTTTGTTTTGGGTTGAGGTATAGAAAATATCAAGTAGTCAGAACAGTCTTGGTTAATGGTAATTATAAACATGCTTCCAGGATCACATGATTATCAAATGTTGTTAGTACAGAAACTTCAGTGTAACAGGTCAGCCACACTAGCTGTGCACTGGACTCTGTGAAAAGGTCATTCCTCTGTCTTGTTGATCTGTGGAATGCTGCAAAGTCCAGCGTAAGCCAGGTTGATACACATTCTATCCAAATGTGGTCATGGTTTTTTCACAATGTTTTCTTATACAGACTTAAAATTTAAGGTTTTTCTTTTCAAATCACAGAAGATCTCAATCAGCTTGGTAACTTTATTTTTCATTTATGTACTTTTCTGTGTTAAATACTGTGGTAAATTTCACCAATAACTATTAGGACTTGGGTCATCATAAAAGTCTCACATGTAACAGTAAAGCTTTAGAAATACCCAGATAAACCACCATTAATGTGTACATTTTAATGACAATTTTCCTAATTTCTAAAAGACTTGACCAGTATGGTTGCCACTAAATACATTGCTGTGCATGAGAGCTACTTTTTTTTTTTAATATGTCTTTTTGTTAATTTTAGAGAGAGGAAGGGAGAAGGGAAGAGAGAGAGAGAAACGGCATTGATGGGGGAGTCATTGGTTGGCTGCCTCCTGCATGCCCCCCACTGGGGATCGAGCCTGCAACCCAGGCATGTGCCCTGACCAGGAATCGAACTGTGATCTCCTGGATCATAGGTCAGTGCTCAACCGCTGTGCCATGTCAGCCGGGCATGATAGCTACTTCTGAGCCAAGAAAATGACCACCTTGTAAAGTCAAGGTTCCATATAAAAATAAAACGAAAAGAAAAAAATAGAGAAGGTATTTTTTTGATAGACTACTATTGACTTCTCTATAATAGTAACCACATCAGTTATATCAGAGTGCTTGGTACGGCTTTCAAGACACTTGATAATGAAAACCTAAAATCTTTGGTGGAACTGGGGTAGAATCTGTCTACTGGGAATAGGAAAGTAGGGCTTGATTTTACAAAAACTAAAAACAGTAAGTTCTTTTTAATACTTCTTACCAAAAGAGTTGAAATGTAAAATGACACAGAGCAGCTTTGGACTTGTCTAAACATGAAATATGGCAAGGACTTTAGCTACCAGAAACCCCACCATTCAAGGACCAGTCCATGAAAAAACATGTAATAACAAGATTATTAGTTTGATAGTTAAGTGTAAGTGAGAACGATCTTAGCAAAATATTCTGCACATGGCACCTTAGACCTCTTGGCACCTTAGACCACTCAGTCATCCTGACTTTGCAGAATATTCTTAGCAAAATAAATATTTCTATTTTCCTGGGAATGATTACTAGCTAAGTACTGACTACCATGATCACAGAAAAGTTAGAGCCAAGCCTTTTCACCTTAGAGTGACAGTTTGATTAGTAAGACAGGAGAAGCAGAGATAACCAAGTTTTTCTAATGAAAGGTCTTTTCATGTTTAAACAATCCTTTGGGAGATTAAAAATTCATGGCAGATCTTTGATTTTCTTTTGAAATATACACAGATTTTTTATTGCCATTTCTACTTTATGTTCATAGTCATTTTTATTTTCAATGTTTTTGAGTTTATTAATTTCCCTGTAGCGGTCTCTTAATCTATTTCAAATCACTAAGCCATCAGAATGTCTTAAGTGTTCTAGAACTTAATGGTCCCATTACAAAATTCTTTTTTAAAATACCTTATCCCCACGATTCCAGGGATAAGTTGATGGTGGTGCCTTCAGTTCATTGTACACCTGCTTGGTATAAGCAGTGGTATAGCTGTCTTCACTGACGATGTTCTGTGGGACATTTTCAAGTATATGAAATTGGTGGGTCATGGATGTTTGCAAATGATGTGCTCATCCTACAGACCAGGGCTTTATTGAGCTCTAGGAATACAAAAGAAGAGGTATTAGGCTGGTGGTGGAAAGATCGAATGGAAAAAAATATGATTTGATGATGTATATTATCAGAGAGTTCTAAGGTGTTTTGAGAACATAGAGGTGGGCTTAGTTAATTTGAATGTGAAATGAGGAAGAAGGTTTTGAGGAAAACTGTCTTGATGAGGATGCCCCTGAACTGCACCTTGAGGAGGCCAAGTACAGGTGGTGTAGAAAACTACCTCAGTCACAGGGAACAGAGTGTCAAGTGTCACATACGGCGTCTTTGCTGAAGGATTTTCTCAGAAAGGAAGGGCTACGTAGCCCTGCTTTCTATGGCTCTTTGATTGGAACACTCTGAAAGTGCTCCAGCGAGTTGGTCCTCCAGAAACCGGGGAGTTGAGTTTGTTTTTAACTAGATGAATAGTCATACATTTGAATGAGAAGTTACAGGTGAGTAATGTTTGTTTTGGTGTCCCTGTAATGATTTTTCTCTTTTCCCCCATTCTTTTAATCTCACTCTGTGATTGATTCAGATTTCCTCATCTAGCAAAGAAGGGACCAAGCAGACCCAAGACAGGGAAGGGTGTTCAGATCTGGAGTAGGGTTCTCGTGGAGCTAGGCTCATCGTTGGGTGGCACTGATTTTATAATTGAACTAACCAATGCAGAGAACTAATATTGTGTTGTTTTGCAATGATATTATTCATTAGCCTGCATTTTTATTCATGTGTCCTTCAAAATGGAGCTCAGATTATAAGACTTGAGAATAAATTTGGTAAACCCAGTGTTAAAGAAAGTTGAAATAAATCTTATATAGCCTATACCTTTCAATTACCAAAAAAAAATTTTATTTAAAATGAGTTGACTTTTTTAACATTTGACTAAATTTAACCCTTTTGGTTTATAGAATTAATCATACTACAGGGGTGGTAACGATGATATGCCCATGATTGAATTTGAATAATATTCCTGAGCATTCCAAAATCAGGAACTTTTCAGGTATGAAATTCTGTGATTCCATGGAACATAAGATATGATTCTTCTGAGGGATAGAAAACCTGGACTGTTTCTTATTTTCATTTTCTTATATTAACAAAAAGCCTTACTGTTGCGTTATGTTTGCAGGGTGGCAATCATGGTTTGTTTGGAAATAGCACAGCACAATCGCGAGGTATGCACACACCAGTGCAACCACTAAATTCTTCTCCTAGTCTCCGGGCGCAAGTGCCTCCCCAGTTTATTTCCCCCCAGGTAAGCAATTGTGTGTTTCCACAATTCAAAAGTAAATGCCATCCAAGTGGTTACTAGTTAACTGACTGGTTTTGTGGGAATAATAGTAGTCCTAAATTTGAAAAACCCAAATGCCAAGGATCAAGATTTTTAAAACAAAACTTCAAATCTTACTTTTTTACTGTATTACGCATACAAAGTAGATGTTTTTGCATGAAAAGCATTATGGTTATATTCCTCTTACATCTATATATTTTCTAATACTATATTGGTTTTTTAATTGCATATGATTAAAACTACTTTATAAATTCTGTTGTACCAGCATTCAGAAATTGGTTGCCCTCAAGGATTCACCTACAGATGAACCATAGAATTGCCAGGTTCTCATTATTCTGAGAAGTTTTAAGGAGCTATCTGCTGAAATACAGACTAGGTTTCTGGGGGGGAGTTTTAGAACTAAAGAAGTAACAGAGACTTGTTCATGGAGCAGCGCTCTGTAAAACACAGACTTTGGGAACCATGGGAACCTTTTAGGTCCATTTCTTAGTAGGAGATACGGAAAGAGTTTGGGGGGTACAGGTGAGAGATTTGTGCCAATCTACCACATACTGTCCCTTGTATCTCTTTGTGAAAAAACACATCTCAGGAGCAAGTAAAAGCTGAAAAGCTTGTGTAAGGATTCAGTGTATGACCTTAGACTCCCTAGAATGTTCCTTTAATGAACTAAATAGGCGCAAGAGCTTTGAGTCCCATCCTATAAAAGGGGGTGGGGCACTTACTAGATCCAGCCAACAGGTAGTAAAGGGTCAGGTTTTGTTTAGTTTTTTGAAATGTCTATTAAGACAAAAGCTTAAAATATTTATTTGAAACCATAATCTGTAGATTTCAAATCAGGTTTTTGACATTGAATCCACATCTGTCTTGTAGAGGAAGAAATGTTCATTGTGCGCTCCCCAACCCCCATCTTCATGGTCCTGTCTGGGAGTCCTCTTAGAGTCCCTTTTCCCCTTCATACTCTCAAAGCTCCAGTCATACTTCATGTCCCAGGTAGTGGTATGCTCTCCAGACATACCTGTTCCTGACTTCCCTAGTACTTACAGTGGCAGCGTCTTAACTCTTGGGGCACTTTCCAGGAGGCTTTAGTATCAGATCAGCAGTTGTCCATGGTTTTTGAATGTCTGCAGTGTGCCAGGCAGTTTGTTGACAATGCACAGATGAATAAAATGCTCTCTCTCCGATCACTACCTCCTGGAGTTGGTGGCAGTGATGGGAGAAGAGTCAGCAAATAGTGTGATAAGTGTATAGAAATGCTTAACAGAGTTTGGGGAGCTGGGCAAGGCCTCACACTAGCAGTGACATTTAAGCTGGTCTGGAAGCATGAGTCAGAGTTTGCCGGGCGCAGCCAGATTGAAGGTGCCTTCCAGGCAGCAGGAGCAGCTTGTGCAAAAGGCGGCAATATGTGGAAGAACGCGCACGTTGGGGAAATGCGTTTAGTTTGAATAATTAGTTTGAGCTTGTGGAAGCATATAGGTGCTGTCTAGAGTGGAATAGGAAGAAATGAGTCGGGAAGTTTGGGGCCAAATTTGGAAAAGCTTCGTTTGCCTTGCTGAGAAGTTTGGACTTTGTCCTTTGGTCTGCATGGTTTATAACCATTATTTGGGTTATGACTTAAAAATATTTGAGTCCCAGGTCTCCCCCAGTATACTGGGACAGAATCTTGGGTGATTTTGATGTGTACCCTAAAGTTTGGCTGCCACTGCTATAGATTATATAGCATTGGGCAAGACTTTTTTAGCTGAGTGACAATGGAGGAAAATTTATCTTTTAGAACGATAATACTGACAGTAATGTAGAGGACATGTTTGAATGGCAGAATTATTAGAGCAAAGGAAATCAGTCATGAGGCTAGTCCAGGAGTTCAGTGGCAGTGGGAATGACGACCTTCTTGTGAAGGTCACCAGTGATCTTTGTGTTGTGGAATACAATGGTCTATTCTCCGGTTTCTTCTTACTCAGTGTATCAGCAGCACCTGAAACAGTTGGTCATGCCCTCATTTTTTTCTTTTAACTGTTGAATTGTTTACTTTTATTTCTTATTATTTATCTCTTTTCTTATTTTCCAATACAAATAATAAGTGGCAAGTAAACATTTAGTTTATATCCAGTCACCGTAAAAATTACCTTTATTTCTCATTACCATCTTTGCTCACTCTTTAACAATGATCATATTTTGTACCCTAAATTTAATTCAGTGTCCTTGATGTACCTCACCTGACATCAGGCATGAAATAAGCAATAGCTGGAGATACTTTTCTCTGGGAAATAAATATTCAGTGGTATTAAGGAAAAAAGAGCATAGCAGTTTGTAGTAAGGACTCAGCTGTATATGTATTCTAGCAAAAAGGGCCTTTACTTAGGAAGCCATTTTATTTATTTATTTATTTATTTATTTATTTATTTATTTAAATCATTTTTTTATTTTTCAATTACAGATGACGTACAATATTATATTAGTTTCAGGTATTCACTCCAGTGATTAGACATGATATAAGTTACTAAGTGATCATCCCAATAAATCTTGTACCCATCTCACACCACACACAGTTATTAGAATATTATCGACTATGTTCCCTGTGCTGTACTTTACATCCCCGTGACTATTTCGTAACTGTTTTGTAATCCTTTCACCTTTTTCACACAACGCCCCAAACCCCCTCCTATCTGGCAACCATCAAAATCTTCTCTGTATCTATGAATCTGTTTCTGTTCTGCTTGTTCATTTATTTCATTTTGTAGATTTGATTGTTGATAGATGTGTACTTATTGCCCACATTATTTATAAATTTAGTTGCCTGGAATGAAATTCCTGGGTCAAAGCACATAAACATTTAAAATTTTTACAAATATTTTAAAATTTACACCCATGTTAACTACTTAATAGAGGCAGTCAGTATTTAATGTAAATGTAGAAAGAAGACATTGAAACTAGTCTTTAAGATTTGTTACTACAAATGTTCCAGTCCTTGGGTTTTCTACGGTGCCTTTTTCATCCTTACTCAAATATTCAGAAAGTAACAGATTCTCGCAGGCTTTTGTCTTGCTTTTAAATTGCTCTCATTTTGCACCTGCAGTGCTTCGTTTAACTGCCATATTGGCTTCAACTAGATTTTCACTTTCTCCAACCCTGCTGGAGAGTGATGGCTTTTAAGCCAGAATAATTAACTCCCTGCTATGGGCATGTGCAAACCTACACTTTAATTACTCTGCAACCCAGGTTCGAATAGCCATTTGCCAGGAGCTAGTCATGCTTCTTTCTGGTCCTTCTGTATTCATCAGAGAAGGACAGTACATGTACAGTCTGAAGAAGGGAAAGGTTGAGTGAAATCCTCAAAGTGTAACCTTTGTAGCCTTTGTAACTGTCAACTTATAGAACATATGAGATGCTGGAATTTAAATTAAATTATAAAATGACCTTGTGTTATCATTTCTTGTAGTCTTTCTTTGTCTCTCTTTAAACAATATATTGTTTCATTTTGCCTTTTTTTAACTTGGTAATGTTCCTGAGATTTTCCCATGTTGATTTGGACAGTTGCGGTTCATGCAGTATTTCATTGTATGAATACACCATCATTTATTTACCAGTTCTGTCTGGAGACATTTGGGCTGTTGCCAGACTTTTGCTGTTATGAGAAGTGCTGCTGTGGATATCACATTTCTCTCTGAGGAAGAATTTCTCTAGGTTATGTTATGTCATGAGCATGGTTTACCTGCAATGGTAGTTTCTCTCGCTAACTTTGAGTAGTAGGAATAGTAAAGGAGAGAGTAATGGGCTCTTGGCAAGGAATGGCATGCATTCTCAAGAGAGATGCTGTGATCAGGAGACCAGCTGATTTGGTCAGTAGAGCTCTTAAAACTGAATGAAGAAATGGGGAAAAATGAAAGGTCAGGCAGTGGATGTTTATTTTGGAGGCCAGAAGATTGGGAAACAAGCGGAGGAGATTTCCCATGGATCATAGAAGAAAATGTTGGAAAAGAAGTTAAGAAACAATGCCGATAGCCTAGAATAGTATTGTCCAATAGAAATATAAATGAGCCACATAAGGTAATCTGAAGTTTTTAGTAGCCACATTTAAAAAGATAAAAAGAGTCCCAACCAAGGTGGCCCAGTTGGTTAGAGCCATCATCTCCTATACCAGAATGGTTGCAGGTTTGATGTCCGGTCAGGACGCATACCTAGGTTGCGGGTTCAATCCTTGATTGGGGAGCATATTGTGAGAGGCAACCAATCGATGATTTTCTGTCTCGCTCTCTTCCCTTCTCCCTCTCTCTCCCCCTACCTCCCTCCCCCTCTGCTTCCTGTCCTCTGTTTCTTAAAAATCAATAAACATATCCTCAGGTGAGGATTAAAAAAATAAAATCTTGTGAAGTTTTAAAAAAGATAAAAAGAAATAAGTGAAATGAATTTTAACATTATTTTCTTTAACCCAATACAGTTAAATTATTATTGAGATTTTTACTTTTTCTTAATACCAAGTCTAATCTCAAATGTATTTTACACTTAAAACACATCTCAATTTATTTTATTTTATTTTATTTTTAAATATATCTTTATTGATTTCAGAGAGAGGAAAGGAGAGGGAGAGAGAGAGCTAGAAACATCAATGATGAGAGAGTCATTGATCGGCTGCAGCCCGCAACCCGGGCATGTGCCCTGACCGGGAATCGAACCCTGATCGCCTGGATCCTAGGTCGACGCTTAACCGCTGAGCCATGCCCGGCCGGGCAACACATCTCAATTTAGGTTAGCCCTGTTTCAAGTACTCAGTAGCCACATGAGACCAGTGGTTGACATTGGACAGGGTTACAAACATAGTTATTATATTAGTTTCTTTCCTGAAAACTGCCATAACAAATTACCACAAACTAGGTAACTTGAAACAACAGAAATTTATTCTCTCACAGTTATGGAGGCTGGAAGCCCGAAATCAAGGTGTCATCAGGGTTGGTTCCTACTGGAGGCTGTTAAGAAGAATCTATTCCGTGCCCTTCTCCTAGCTCCTACTGGCTGCTGGCAGTCCTTGGTGCTCCTTTATGTACAAACGCATCATTCCAGTCTCTGTCTCCGTACTCACATGGTGTTCTTCCCCATGTCTCTTTCTTCACGTGACTTTCTCTTCTCTGTTTTTGTGTCCAAATTGCCGCCTTCTTATAAGGACACCAGTCTTTGGATTAGGGACCACTCTAATCCAAATTTGATCCTATCTATAAAGATCCTATTTCCAAATAAGTTCACAGTATGAGGTTTCAAGTGGGCATGAATTTGGGGGGGAAACACTGTTCAACCCAGTACAGTTGCTACATTAAATGTAAGACTCACACTGAAGGTAGTAAATATAATTTCATGGGTCACTGAAATATAGTGGACCGAGACTACAGTTTGGAATATAGTGTTGATAGACAGTGTAGCATACTCTTACACTTGTAGTCTTCCCCTCCTCCCCCCCAAAATCTTAATATGGTGAGATTAGAACTGTTATATCAGAGACAATAAGTTAAGTCACACTGGTGACCATTTGGGTGAACTCAAAGGAGAGATGATGAAGAGTTGTTATTTGGGGGAAATTATAGAGGGTTGTGTCTGGTCTACTGGCCATAAAACTGTTTCAGAGGCAAAATGCACCGTAGTGGTGTGCTCATATCTGCTAGGAGTCTGACACTTAAAATAGAAAATCAAACAAAATTTTTAATTAGTTGGCAACACTCAGTATCTCTGAGAGGATAGAGAGGAAACAGCTAGAACTATTGCTTTAAACCAAAAAACTTTCCAAAATGACAGACTTGATAGGTTAAGTGAAAGTCACTGAGATCTTAGAAGAAAATGAGTTGGTGAACGAAGCATAAGAAACCTGAACTTAGCCTGGCCGGGCATGGCTCAGTGGTTGAGCGTCAACCTAGGATCCAGGCGATCGGGGTTCAATTCCCGGTCAGGGCACATGCCCGGGTTCGGGCTCCATCCCTAGTCGGGGGTGTGCAGGAGGCAGCCGATCAATGACTCTCATCATTGATGTTTCTCTCTCTCTCTGTCTCTCTCTTTCTCTCCCTCTTCTTTCCTCTCTCTGAAATCAACAAAGATGTTTAAAAAAATTAAAAAAAAGAAACCTGAACTTAGATGTTTCTAGATTAGAAAGTGTCAAAAGATAGGCAAACGTTCTTGAGAATGTGGCAGAGGCTGACTCCGAAGTCTTAGGAAACTGCCGAACTCACCTCTATTATGCTAGAGCAAGAGGCAGTGGGAAGCCCAGTGGTTCTCCTGATGAAAGCTCTCTGATGACTTTTCAAAGGGAATTTTCAAAAGATGGAAAGTAAGGGAATGCAAGCAAGGATGGATACGTGGAAGAATCCGAGTTGGGGGATTCGAACATAAAATAGACTGAGGGTTGCAAAGAAGTAGGCAGATAAAAAGAGCCTTTTGAGTTTGGTGTGGTGAAATTTGGTGACTGGGAAAGGCGTTTATTTGGACTATTTGTATAATGCTGACTGATTATATGGAAATAAAAATTTTATTGCTTTTGTCTTCTCTGTTAAGAACAAGGATGTTAAACAGAAAAGGTAGGATTCCTTAAATTAGGGAATGTAAATTCTACAGTAGAGAAGGAACTTGTGAAAAGAATTGCAGAGCCCTATCTGTGATCTTTGAAGAATGCTAGGAGTCTTCAGGGGGAGTTTAATGACAACCCCTCTTTGCTGCCCAAATCCTGAAATTTTAAGACAAAAGAAGAAGGCACGTGGGGTCCAAAATACCTCTTTACTACTGAGAAAGCTGATACTGGAGAACGTGAGCTTCCTAATACTGAATTCCAGCTCCCCCAGTAACTGGAACGGGGCCATTCCCTCTGCAGGCTTGCCAACAAGAAGGGGAAGAGGCTGGAGTGTTGTGACTGTGATAAAGGCTGGTCCCCCTCTGCTGAGCCTCACACCAGAAACGAGAAAGACGCACCCCTTCCCTACAAGGAAGTGTAAAGAATGGGGAAATGTTTAAAACAATTTTTGAAAGAATAGGAAAGTTGCCTAAAGACTGATGAACCTTGTGCCACTTCCAGGGGAAATTCTGCCCTTAGATTATCAGAAAGGTGGGTTTCGAGCACCTGTGCGTAGGAGTCAGGAATCACAGCTTGCTGACGAGTTCTGACCTAGCTCATTTCCTTCATGGTTGGTAAAAACATCTTGGGTTATAAGAACAATACAGTTGTATCTCTGTTTTGACAGGCCATTTGACAAGCTATCTCTTTTTTTAGACAAGATGTAAAAATATAGGCTAAATGCTGAAACAGTTGTGTGGATTAGTAAATGACTGACAGACTGTTCCCAGGCTGATCAGTTTCAAGGTCGGAAAGGAGTCTTTGGTGGCACGCTACTAGATTATCCTCAGCTCTTCAAGTTCAACATTCTCATCAGTGACCAGATCGGGAAACACAAACTGGGAATAAGAATAATAGGGTAGAAAAGATTTTGATGGGGAGACTGTTATTAAATTAAAATACAGTAGTCACTTAATAGGTATTTATCAAGCATCTCCTATGTGCCATGCACAAAAAGATAAAATGTAAGGTTCTAAGATCAAAGCATAAATTAATAAATTTTTAAAACCCAGGTGCTTAAATATTACACAGGGGAGCAAAACATTTAAAAATATTGTAGGTTTTATTTTTTTATTTTTAAATATTGTAGATTTTAATTGACAATAGGCTTAGTGTGTGAATTGGGAGTTATGATGCAGTCATCAGAGAAACAGATCTTAGGCATTGTTAACAAAAGCATGGCTTTTAACAGAAGGGTTAGTGATGGCCAGGTCTACTCAGTACTGAACTGTTCTGGGAAATGGCTTTCTGTTCTGGGCTCTGCACTGAGAAATTGAATGAGACTCAGGTAAAAAACTAATCTTGTTTAGCCTAAAGATGAGACGCAAGAGGGCTGTAATCATTGTCTCTAGACATTTGTAGAATAAGAACATTTATGGGTTGCATTTCTAAGTATTTGATGTGGATTAACTCATAAAATTCTCAATCAATCACTGAAGTTAATATTATTATTCCAGTTTTGGAGATAAGGAAAATGAAGCTCAGACAGGTTAAGTAACTCACTTGCCCTGAGTTATACACCTAAGAAATGGCAGCCTGCCTCTAGAACTAACTTCTTAACTAGTATGCTGCTTGCCACTCACAGAAGAGGGATTAAGTTTGTTGTCCTTGGCACCAGCTCATTCACTGGGTTCAGTGAAAGAAAGTGCAGAGAAACAATTCAGGTCAGTTAAAACATCTTAAACAAGCAGTCCAAAAGTGGGAGGGAGTCCTGTCTCTATCCCTGGAGGTTCCTGCAGCCTAGCCTTATTCACTCCTGAAAACCATGGAGAAAGAACCAGCTGAGCCATTTGATCTTCTAGGCTCTTCTCTGCCTCCCTGCAACTCTGAGTGTTTGGTATGAGAAGTCATGAGTTGAAACTTCAGTGTCTCCTGTTTATAGGTTGATTTTTTAAAAATTTTATTTGTGTAACAGAAATACTTTATTTTAAGCATTTATTTAGTAGCTTTATGCGGTTTGATAGAGTTTGTTTTATGGCACATTTTGGGTAATAATTTCTCAGACAAATGTCATATTGTCATTAAAATTTTCAGGTCTTACCAATGTCTTCATGATTGTAAAATTCATCATTTTTGTTGTAGAAAAATTGGAAAGGCTAAGAAAAGAATTTAAAAGCTCATACAATATTACCACTCAGAGATAACCATTGTTAACACTTTCATGTATTTCTACCAATCATATAATATTTTTCAAGGAAAATAATGGCTCTTGCTTTATTAGGATTCTTTTCACACAAAAATAATTTATTTTGCTAAATTCTGGCAGTTCATCTTTTTTTTTTTTCCCCCGCTAGGTTTCTGCCTCAATGCTCAAGCAGTTTCCCAACAGTGGCCTGAATCCAGGTCTTTTCAATGTGGGGCCCCAGTTATCTCCTCAACAAATTGCCATGCTGAGCCAGCTTCCACAGATTCCCCAGTTTCAGTTGGTAAGTAGCAGATTTCCCTCCTATAACTAAAAAGGTTATGTACTTTTTCTTTAAGTTGATTTGCTTCATTTTATGTGTGCTCAACTGGGGGTAAATGTGACCAGTAGACCAAGAACTTGGTGGTACTTTCCTCATAGACACTTGACTCAATGATCTGTCCTTCAGCGCACAGACCTCTCAGTGTCCTCATTGAGTCCATGTTAGGAAACTTAGGGCCTCTCTCTTTCCTCCCTGTAGGCATGTCAGCTTCTCTTGCAGCAGCAGCAACAGCAGCAGTTGTTACAGAACCAGAGAAAGATTTCTCAAGCTGTGCGCCAGCAGCAAGAACAACAGGTACAAGGGATTGGGAGGGTCCCTCTAGTGCTCTCTATGAGGAATGCATTTCTGCCTATCCTCTGATGGCACAAACAAATATGCAATATTTTCCTGTGAAGTTCAGCACGTTGGCTTATCGTGTATCTGTTTTCCCTTGGGCCTCCTTGCTCTGGACTGCCCACCTCCAGCTGGCTCGAATGGTGAGCGCACTCCAGCAGCAGCAGCAGCAGCAGCAGAGGCAGCCTAGCATGAAGCATTCGCCATCTCATCCTGTTGGGCCCAAGCCACATCTGGACAACATGGTACCCAACACTCTGAATGTGGGGCTCCCAGACCTTCAAACCAAAGGGCCAATACCTGGATATGGTTCTGGTGAGTTGTCAGTAATAAGAATTACCTTTTTTTAAGCCTATGATAGGGGTTGGACCTACATTCCCCTCTGTTTTCACAACAGCCATACAAAGTGTAGATAGTCTTATCCCTGTCTTACAGATGAGGTTTTGAGTTATCAAAATCCAAGAGTTTCAATGGGTTTCAGAAGCTTACCACACGATCAATAAATAGCAGAGACAGGGCTCCAACTTCTGACCCCAAAGCAGTCTTTTATACTTATAAATGGCAATCTGCTCCACCTGAACTAGGAATTTTTAAAAACTGGATTAAATGCTTGTACATGCTATGAGTGCTACATGTGCCTGAAGTTATAATCTATTAAAATATATACAAGTTGAGGTGTTTCACTCGACTGATAAAATTACTTTCTCTTGAAAAAATGAGAACTAAAATTAAATTTATAAGGCAAACTGATGAAATTATTCTGATATTTGTATTTCATTTGAGTTAAATAGAATTAGCACAAGTAAGGTTACACCTTTGACATTCATAAAGAATTTGCTGGCAGGCAAACTGTAGCTCTTTCAGAACTGGGGAACATGATGTAAGCAGAAGCCAATCCGTGAGGCAACAGTGATTTAAAAATAAAATTTAAAAATTAAAAAGGTACCACACACCACCATGGGTTTCTTCTCAGATTCACATTTAGATTTTATGTTGATAAAGAAGGTACTCTTCTGTGCAAACTCAAAAACAAGAGTTAGGGAGCCCTGAAACCCATGCTCCTAGGTGACAAAGTGACCCTAGACAAATGACCCTGCTCTTTGCTCTAGTTCTTTGAGGCATCTACTTCCTACTGGGGTGTCCACATGCAGAGAAGAGCAGAGATTTCAAGGACTCATTGATCCTGGATAATTTTAAGGGAGTTAATTTCCAGATTTTTAACTTCCGTCAGCTATAGTCTTTCTTAAAAATGATCCATCTGGGAACTGATTTAAATTCAATCTAACCTTTATACTACTTGACATGAAAGGGCAAACTCCACCATCGCGTATCTTACCAGGACATGCTCACCTGGGTGTAGAACACCAGGGTACCAAGCAAGAAGGCGGCCTCCCATGTTGACAAATGAAGGGAGTTGTTATCCCCTGAGTTTCCAGTCTGCCTTCTTCATCATGTTTTCTATTAAGGATGAAGCTTGACATAAAAACCTGGGTATTTTGGTATGTGCTGAGTTCTGAATTTAGACTCCATATGCGATAATAAAGCAGGGCAATTTTGCTTCTTCCGTCCCTTTTTGTCAAAGAGTACGTAGTTCTCAAAGTAGAGTCCAGTCAGTTCAAAGCAAGGAGAGCATCTGGAAGCTGCAAGCAGCTTTTCCACATGTTTAAGTGCACACGTTCCTTTTGGTTCTTCTCAGTACTCATGCCTAGAGCCTATCTGAGAAAGAAAGGCACCTTCAAACATCTCAAGCATATAGGTTAGTGACACTCTCAAAACACATTTTCACAAAGCGTCAGGTAAAGCCTGTGGATAAACTTCTACGTGATTTCCTTTAGGCTGGGCATACATTAGTCAATTAATTATTAAAGACCTAAAATCATGATGTATTTAGCCCAGTGACACTCAGTTCTCAGAGCAGCTTTAATATTTTCTAGCTCCCACTAAAAAGTAAAATTATATGTTGGCTGAGAATCTGTTAGTTTTTAACAACAGGTATATTTCTTATTTACTAAATATGTAGACCAGCTTTATCATGATGTCTTGTTAGATTAGCAGTGTGATGATTCTCGTCCTAACTATTCCTAATGGCTAAAGGAGCAGAGTTCAGTATATACACATATGTGCATTTACAAAAGAAATCTTCTGATTTTTGTCATACTCCTGTTTTATAAATAACTTAGAAATTTAGCTATGTCTTAGAATCCAAATGAAGCAAGGAGAAAGAACATACTGACTTACTAACTTGTTTACATTTGATAACTTATTGAACAATAGCTAAATTAATTTTATTAGATCTTTATCATATTAATTATAGTCTGACCAGTTTTAGCCTTCCTTACAAGATGCATTTCGTATCATTTTTCTTCATGTATATTACCTTATTTATTTGAATTGAAAAATATATTTTGGTACTGAAAGTAAGGCTTATTTGGCTGCCTGTTTTGAATAAGATCTATAGCTATAAAATTTTGATGAAAATATATTTAAAGCTTATACAGAGATTAAATTATTTTCAAAAAAGATTATATGGCAAAGATGTAACAAAATAGTATTTTAATCTTTCTAATGATGAGTGTATCAAACTAAAAAAGATACCTGTGGGTAAAAGTAGCAGGAATAATTAAAAGTATCTTAAGTTTTGCCCAGCGGGGCGTGGCTCAGCGGTTGAGCTTCGGCCTAGGATCCAGGAGATCGTGGTTTGATTCCCATTCAGGGCACATGCCCGGGTTTCGGGCTCCATCCCCAGTTGGGGGCATGCAGGAGGCAGCCGATCATTGACTCTCTCTCATTGATGTTTCTATTTCTCCCTCTCCCTCTCCCTCCCTCTCTCTGAAATCAATAAAGGTATATTAAAAAAAAAAAGATCTTAAGTTTTGATAAAGCCTCTTTTTTGGTATAATTTCACAAAAGTAACAAGTTGAATGACTTTTGACTGTTTAACTAATTCTTAATTGATTGTTTTTATAAAAGAGATGTTTTTTAAATTCTCAGCTTGTAGCAAAATTGAGAAATATACCTAATTGAATGTCAGATGATAATGACGTATCTAAAAATTATGTTTTAGTATCTACGTTTTAGTGTCAAACCCTGAGGGGAGGGGAATATACTTAAAAAGGAATTAAAAGAAATAAGTGATGTTATATAACAAGACTCCTTTTCCAGTCTGCTTATTCACATAAGATTTCATAGTGCTTATGTCTACAAAAATTTGTAAAATTAGGCATAAGTTATAGTCATTTATAGTAGCTAATCAGGAAACAGTCACTCATCTTAATAGAAAATGCATTGCCAATAAAATTTTATTTTTTATATTTAAAATGTATTGAAACTTGACAATATATGTGGTATACCCAGTAAAAGTAGAGTTATGAATATTACAGGTATTAAAATAGTAGGAGAGTAATTTATATCTACCCTGGGATCATGAATGTGGCAATATCATGTACACGTGGACATGGATTAGAGCTGTTGTGTTCATTGGGCAACTGAGGGTGATTTATTTCTCTTATAATTTATTGCTTATAATTATTGCAAAAGCAGTAGTTTGTTTTTTAATCTACAATAAAAGGAGTAGCAGAAAATAACAGACAAAGTGAGTGAAAAAGTGATCAATTAAGGACAAGTTCATTTGAGAGTTTCCTCTGTATGGTAAGCTCTAAGCCAAGTGGTAGTGATGAACAGATGATGAATTAGGGTGCAGGGAAGCAGGAGAAAGGACAGATAAGATACACAAAGGGTTGTTTTTGTAAAAATGATAAGATGGTAAAAGGGATATACTGGTGAAATGAGTCCCTGGGAAGGCAAGGGGCATGTCTTATCTCTTTGTACCTCAGCTGCTAACACCAAACCTGGCACAAATTAGGCTTTCCATAAATATTCATTAAACGGAACTAAATGGTTTGTTTGATTTGAATTAAAGTGTGGGTGAGCTGGAGAATTACAGGGAGGCTACTGGGTGGACTGAGCAAGTTTGGTTTTAATGAAATAGCAAGTATGATAAAGTCAGTGTTCTCCTGGGATTGGAGATATGATAGCTCATAAATAGCCCAGAGGTCACAAGTGGTGTGCCCCCTGCTTTCTGTTCAAGCAGCCACTAGCGCACAGCGCTCGAGTCCCTTCCCTCCAGAGCTGGTGAATGCGTTCCGTATCCTGATGTCATGCCAACTGCTGTGTGGCATCAAGAAAGACACAGAGTCTGTCCAGCCTTGCCCTGGTGTTTATCCTGTCATGGTTTTGGGTTTGTAGGGTAAACCTTTCAAGGCAGTTTTATCTTGTATTCTTCCTCTCGCCCCTTTAATTTTTTTTTCCTGACCAAACCTTGTTACTTAGTTGTGGTGCTGCCACATTTTGGTGGCATTTGATCCCCAAGTTTCTAATGAGCATGATTCCCACTTTAATTATGGTTCAGATGGATTCCTCAAACACTCCCCTCTACCAAGATTTATAACTCTTATTAATTTTCTACACTTCATGTGTCACAAAAGCACTCTAAACAGCTGAAATTTAATATCTTTTACTCACTAGGTTTTAGAGAAATTTTAGAGCAGCTTTAAAGAAAATTAATGTGTAAGGAATGGTTCCTTATCCTCTTACTAACCCCTGCATTCTTGTTTTAATCTTCACCAGAGTCCTGGGTTATTTTCAAAAGCTCTTTCCCAGTGACTGGAACCAGCTTTCAGATGGCCTGGAATCCAGCACCTTGGGCTGGTTTTCTCTGTCAAAGGTGTAGGTGTAATTTGCCCAAGGAGTAACACGCTTAGGCCATTAAAGCTTATGTCAGAGAAAGCCTTGTTCCTTTCAACTTCCTGCCCTCCAGTCTCATTTCAGCTCAGCTACATAAGACAAAGAAGAAAATATCTTAAACCCCTCTTTTAAAAAGCTTGTTTAATTTGGAATATTTCCAGCTCATACCAGTGATTTCTGCTCTCTGCCCTTCAGTTAGTTGGACTAGTGAAGTCAATTACAAGCAGTGTGAAGGAACAGAGTTCTTTATATTTATAGGAGCATTTTGAACGTAGGTCAAGAGGGTGTTAGAAATGGACTTGAACTTGATTTATTATGCATTTGTAAAGCTATACCTGCCAACTAGGAGAAGCACAGGGGAGAAAAACATGACCTGGACCCTCAGAGGGGTTTGGATAGATGGTACTTCGGGGCCAGTAAGACATCAGCAGATGGCAGGAGGGTAGAATGGACACTGCGCAGAGCCGGGCCTGGCCAGAGCTGCACGTTCTAGAGGAAGAAGAGATGGGTGTTTGGCTCCTTCAGCCACCTAAGCTTTGCCATGGTGGGAGCCCTGGTCACCTCTCTGGGTTGCTACACTTACTATGGCTCTTAATGGTCTCTGGTTTTTCTTTGGTCTTTCCCTTCACTGTTTCATTTCTTTATTTTAGTCCTTTATTTTACTTTTATGAGAATCAGTTTAAACGATATTAAGTACATTCGGATCCAAAATGGATGGCGGACCTTGTGAGACTCCAACAACAAGCCTCTCACTTTAGCTTCCACCTGTCCAGCCCTGTGCAGTGGAAAACATTACCCACCAAAAGTTGTGAAAAGCCTGACACCTGAGGCTTACCTGGGGCCTCATGGCAAAGTAAACTATGAACCTCTTACTAATATCCTATTCAAGCTTTGGGGTCTTCATTACTGCATAAAAACTTTTTTCAAATTGATCTCTCAAGATTCTATCCTGACCTTCATCTACCCCATTCTCATATTGCCAATTCTCTTTCTAAAATACAAACCTAGTTTTCTCTCCCTCACTTGTTTAACGTTTTACCTCCTGTCTTAGAGGAAAAAGTCCAAACTCCTTTACCTGATATATAACAACCCTGCATGACATGACTCTTCATTTCTCCCCCATCTCCTGCCACTCTGCCCCACTTCATCCATAGCCAAGCACTGGAATCACGTTGGACTCTCAGCATTCCTTAAATATTGTCATGAGTTAGAGCTTTGTACTTGGTTTCCCTGACTTACGTACCTATCCTAGCCCTAGATCAAATGTCCCTTCTTCTGCAAAGCCTTTCCTCCCCTCAAACCCTTACCACAACCTCGTAGCTGCTCTTATTCCATATTAGTTTGATGTGTGGACACCTCCATTTCAGTTGGAGAATCACTGGCCCCAACATTCTATCTGGCACAGATGTTAGCTAAACTAACATGTGAGTGAGATGGTCCTAGTTGCATGGCAGTCATACACATTTTCATACCTTAACAGAGGCATTATGTTTTTAGCAGGCAAGAGCCAAGATCAGCATTTTGAATTAAAATATCTATTTCTGAGTGAAATTCCTTGTGAATTAGTATTTAAGTTACAAATGAAGCTGTTCATGGGTTCTGCCTCAGAACTCTTGTTACTGATACTAGAAATTTATAGAAAGGCATAAAATGTGATTCTCTGTTTTAGGATTCAGCTCTGGCGGCATGGACTACGGCATGGTTGGTGGGAAGGAGGCTGGAACAGAGTCTCGCTTTAAACAGTGGACCTCCATGATGGAGGGACTGCCCTCCGTAGCCACACAGGAAGCCAATATGCACAAAAATGGTAAGAGCAAGCAAGGAAGCATGAGTTGGAGCTCTTCTGACCCTCAGCAGTGTCCTGTAAAATTATTTTAAAGTGTGGGTTTTTAGCTTTATCTTAGCAAGCCTCTTGATTTCCCCTCCCCAAAATTTTATGATCACCTATGAAGGAAGATTGTGTTTATTTTCCAAATTATAAGAAACTTAAAATGCTAGTTCTAATTAAAGAAAGCAAAATTTCCCACCTGCAATGGGATGGGATGGAGGGAAGTGGAAGTGAACTTAAGCACCCATTAAGGTAAAACTTTACCTAATGAACTGGCTGAGAAAACAGCATCAGGTTTTTTTAGATGCAGATCACAACTTTTTTGAACTTTCCACAAAGCTTTCTTGTTCTTTATGAATTACAGGGTCTGCTGCACAGCAGTTGAGGGCATTCCAGGCTTTGGTTATAAACGTGGGTCAGCCCTTCATCTCCATAATTCCCTGTAAGAGCCTCCATTTCCCTGTAAGACAGATACAAGGTCTTGGAGTCTTCCTTCAGCCTTTGTTTGAATGTTTGTTTAAATTGACAGTAATTCGCTTGGACTCAACTCCTATCTGTGAGAATCAAGTATAAATAGGTGGGGACTGCTACTGCCGCAGCTCCCCGGCAGGCCTCAGCCCCATCAATCTAAAGCCTTCCAGGGTTCCTTTATAAGCCACTCTTTAAAATGTGCCCATCCAGAGGCTGCTCAAGTGGCCACTTGGAGTTCTCTGCCTGCTACCCCAAAGCATTGTCGTTTGATTTTCTGGCACAAAATCAAGAACAATTTGTAGAAGCTATAAGATCTGTTTTTGAACTCAGTAATCCAAGCTCAACATCCATAGTTTCTGGCACTTACACTGCTTCCTTCCCCAAAGACATGATAGATGCATGACAATAAATACAAAATGGCATGTAGAGGATATCTCGAAGGGAAAATAGCCACTTGCCTTTTTAGAGCTCACAGATGATACCTTCCCCATTGCCTCGGCAGCCCCCAAGAGAATCGAGCTGCTCATGTTGCACTTCACTGTGCTTGCCTGCCCTTGAATCAGATTTCTTCCAGAGGCTCCAGAAAGTCAGCGACTTGTTAGCTGAGCATAGAGGTAGTTTTGGTGATACTCCTGCTAGGCGAAACCGGGCTCTTTTAATCGACGTGCGTGCAGATACATTGCCTCAGGGCCAGCTTTACCAGTTCGTACTAGGGCCCTAAGAATGGTGTGTAGGATTTGTTTGAGGGAAAGGTAGGGTGGTGTCTCACAGTGCTGGTATTTTTATGTAAAGTAAGGCTCACTTTTTGTTAGTTTAAGGGAATTTTAAGCTGCTCAGCTTTTTCCTGCCTCGTGGCATATAAAATGTATGAAGCGGGCACTGACAAAACCGCTGAAATGCTCTCAGGAAAATGCTTACAAAGGATTTGCTGTTCTTCGTGTGTGGGGCCATGGGTCCCAGAGCTGCGGAGCTCACTGCTGGCCTTGTGCTGGCAGAGACCCTGGGCAGGAATTCCATCTCATTGCTTTGGAATTTAAAGCAATTGCAGATGCTTTTCTCTCCAGTGGATTTCCCCTCCTTTGTATTGCTTCTTCCAGAGAAACTAGTCTGATCAGCACTGAAGAACTTGGGTGGCTATCGTCGGTACAAATGTAGTTAAAAACCTTCTTACATGCTGCAAATTGTTGAGTGTTTTTATTATTTCTCATTCTTGAGTCATTAGTATAGAAACTGTGGGGATAATGGTATGATTCGTAGTTTATGAAAGTTCAGTTAACGTCATAAGACCATAGAATTTTAAAACCGAGAGGAACAGTCAAGAATGAAAATGGTGCTGTGTGCATGCGTAAGAAACTGAAAGGTGAAATGAATTTTTCATGGTCACTCCACTTACCGATTATATGCTGTTCTTGAGTGTGACCTCTCATTCTAATACTGTTTTTGCTATATAAGCTTCACAATTCTGTATTTGGTTGAGTTTCTCTAAATAAAAAGTTGACAAGTTCTGTTCACAGGAGTCCTTACCAGGTGTGAATTTATTTCCTCTCTCTCTTGTCAGGCGCTATAGTGGCCCCTGGTAAGACCCGCGGAGGCTCACCATACAACCAGTTTGATATCATCCCAGGTGACACACTGGGTGGCCATACGGGTCCTGCTGGTGATAGCTGGTTACCTGCCAAATCTCCTCCAACAAATAAAATCGGAAGTAAATCCAGCAATGCCAGTTGGCCTCCAGGTATTGTCCAGGAAGTGTTTTTTCTGGGATATCGTTTGTTTTTTAATTGTTAATTTCAGATTCTGAACAGATTATTTTTGCCACCCACTTTACTAAGTCACCCACTTTCATTTTTTCATTTAGTAATTACAGTCTGATAAAAGCAGGAGTGCTGTGCAGTGGGGAGATAGAAAATTTTCAGTAGATAGGGTCTCTGCTCTGTAGCATTCAGGCAGGAAGGTAAGGTGTTGACACTGATCACCTACAAGGTAGTTACTGTGTGATAAATAATGCACGAACTTGGATACGCTGAAGGAAATCAGAGGAGGGGAACCTGGGGATAAAAGTAGGTGACTTGGAGCCAGGACTTAGCATGCATTCATCATAGGATGCCTTGTAACCTGGGTTCTTCAGAAATATCCATTGAATTGATTTATTTTTAAAGCAAGTATTTATTATCAGTTAGGTTCCAGGTTCACAGTAGTGAGTGAATGACAGTATTTGTTACTCTTTTTCTTTTCTCTCCCTCCTTCTCTCTCTCTCTCTTTTTTGATACAGATAACCTGTTTTCATTGTAGAAAACCTTTTTAATATAGTAAGCAAAAATTAAAATATTTGGTATATATCCTTCTAAATGTCTCTGTATACAGTTATATTTGTGATACGAATATGTAGGCTGTTGACTATATAATGCATATTGCTTTCCCTCATCATGATTAGAAAAGTAAAAGGTTTATTAACACTATCACATAGCTTTAAATATGATTTAAATGAACCAATAAAAAATTGTAAACACTTATTTATACATATTCCAGGCTTTTTCATGATAAGCCAAATTATTCATGTTGATTTTCCCTGCACGTAGTGGTCATTTGTATTGTTTCCTTTTGTGCATCTGAGCCAATTTCCTGTGAGATAAATGGGAGCAGTCACTGATCTCCAGGGTAAATTTTCTCCAAGTTCTTGTCCTAGATGCCTGAACAGTTCTGTGAGCACCAGACCACTTATCCTGCCTCCCTGCCCTCAGGCCTGAATTTCCTGGGAGCAGGAAGAACAGGTTCTGGGACTAGGCACTGATGAGCTCTGGCATCAAGTTCACAGCCATAGAGAGACAGAAGGTTGACATGTTGTGATAACACAAAGGTGTTGCTGGCAGAGTGGCTGACTTTTTTTTTTTTTTTACTGATGAAAATCTGAAATAAAATAGATTGAGTAATTAGACTTTTTACAGATCTATTTCTTATATCAAAAAATAACTTATACCATTTTTTGAACACCCTTCTACCCCTAATACTTGTTCTTCTCTCAGAATTCCAACCAGGAGTGCCATGGAAAGGTATCCAAAACATTGACCCTGAATCTGATCCCTATGTCACCCCAGGAAGTGTGCTGGGGGGTACAGCCACATCTCCCATTGTAGATACTGACCACCAACTTCTGCGGGATAACACCACAGGTAAATAAGTCAGACATCCCTTGTGTTGATTCAGCACCCAACATTTTCAAATTTATCAATCTGTGGTTTCATTTATACTTGCCATTATCATTATCTAATAATTTAACCAGAAAACACAAGAACATAAATCTTTTTACATTTATTTTTTTAAATATATTTTGTTCACCCTTCTATTGAAAGTTAAATAAACTTCAAAGTTTCACTTCTTATACTGACGTTTATCTGCAGTATTTTCATCTTGTTTTTCATCTGTTACTCAAAGGGTCTAATTCTTCCCTCAACACCTCGCTGCCTTCACCTGGTGCCTGGCCCTACAGTGCCTCTGACAACTCCTTTACCAACGTTCATAGCACTTCAGGTATGAGTGTGACTGATCTGTTTCCTTTTGGTTAGCGCTTTTCAGGTTCTCTTTTACAGAGGAAATTGGCATTTCTTTCTTTTCTTTTTTTTTAATCTTCACCCAATCTCATTGCTTTCAGAGAGAGTGGGAGGGAGGGGGGAGATCGAGAGAGAACATCAATGTGAGAGAATCATTGATTGGTTGCCTCCTGCACTTGCCCCGACCGGGGCCGGGAATCAAGCCTACACCCGAGGTATGTGCCCTTGGCCGGAATCAAACCCGGGACCCTTCGGTCTAAGGGTTGACACTCTAACCACTGAGTCAGACCGGCTAGGGTGGCATTTATTCCTTAAGGAATACTTTTATAGTAGTTGAAGAGCATAAGTCAGTGTAGATGGAGGCACAGTTCTTGTATTGGCCATGTCCTCAAGGAGCTTCCAGTGTCAGAGAGGCAGGATGAGACACATACAGCTTTAGGACAAGGCAGATGGTGACATAATTGCAGGAAGCTGTTGGTGTTGAGAGGGCAGAGATTATATGCTGATGGCACAAGTGCTTTTCTTTTGACCAATCTGCCAAGAGAATCGAGAGCCCTGGGAAGAACCAGGTAAGTCCAGGTGGTTATTCCTTCAGCAGCCAATTATAGCTTGCTTTTCTCTAAAATCCTTCCACTTACAGACAAAGGCTAAGGGCATCCCTGGCCAGGTAGCTCAATTGGCTAGAGTGCTGTCCCGATACACCAAGGTTGCAGGTTCGATCCTCAGTCAGGGCACATAAAAGAATCAACCAGTGAATGCATAAGTAAGTGGAACAACAAATCCATGTTTCTCTCCTGCTCCCTCCCCCTCTCTCCCTTTTCTCTTTCTAAAATCCATAAATAAGAATTTAAAAAAAAAAAAAAAAAAGGCTGAGTAAGGGCAGATGGCCAAGGGGAAAAAGAGGACCTTTATTAATTCTACCAACATTTATTGAGTTCCTTTTTCTGTTGTTTTGTTTTTTGGGGTTTGGGGGGAAGACAATAGGGAATGGAAGTTAATAGATATAATAGAGCCTTTGAAGTCACTCAGTTAACACAGTGCCTTACAGATTGGAAGACAAATTTTTAGTAATTGGCACTTTGGTCTTGCGAAAATTGGACCTTAAACCATTAAAGTCATAAAGGCTTCTGTTCTTTGTCCAGGCAAAAGTAAATAAGACAAAACCTTAGCTACCTACTAAGGCACTGCAGGTTAATGACCTTACTAATTGTCTTCTATTTTTTTTCTTTCCATCTACCTCTGTATCATCTCAGCAGTGCAATAATCTATCATTTATTGAATGCTCCTGCAAACCAGGCAGCATACTAAGCCTTCAGCGTGAATTTTTTTAAAACAGTAAATGACTTATTTATTTCTAATGACTCAGTGGATCAGAAGTCTGGGCAGGGCCTAGTTGGCAGTTCTTCTTTTGCAGCTGGGGTCAGCTGGGGTGTCTCATGAAGTTATAGTCGATGGCAGCGGGACTGAACTGGAAGGCTTCACTCAGAAGTCACCTGTTCAGCTCCCCAGTGTGCCCTCTCTCACTTCATGTGCTGCCTCATCACTCAGTATTTTATCTCGAGCTTCTTTTTTTAAAATTGAATTTATTGGAATGACTTACATTCGCAAAACTGTACAGGTTTCAAGTGTACAACTCAATAAAACATTATCTGCACACTGCATGGTGCGCTTATAGCCCCAAGCAAAGTCTCTTTCTGTCCCCATTTTACCCCCTTTGCCCGCCTCCACCTACCCCCCAGCTATTACCACATTGTTGTCAGTGTGAATTCAGTGGGTTTTTTTTCTTTTTAAGATTTTTTTCTACTGAATTTATTTATGTATGTATGTATGTATGTACGTATATACGTATGTTTTTAGGGAGAGAGAGAAAGGAAGAGGGAGGGGGGAGAGAAACATTGGTATGATAGCCAAACATCAATCAGCTGCCTCCTGCATGCCTCCTACTGGGGATCAAACCAGCAACCTTTCAGTGCACAGGACAATGCCCAACCAACTGAGCCATACCAGCCAGGGCTCAGCATGAATTTTTATCCTACCTTCACTAAAGTCTATGGGGAGGTCCTGGTGTTAACCCATTTTGTTGATGAAGAAACCGAGGTTCAAAGAACTGATATAACTTGCCTCAAATCCCTGAATGCATGTGTAAAGGAACCAACTCAGTATTTCATGCTTCTACCTTACATTATACTTTTATAGGACTTTTTCCTTACATGTAAAAACTCATTCTCACCTAACTCTTTTGTTCCTATAACTGCCCATATCTCAGGTTGATCTGTTTGTCTACAATTGGACATTCACCTGAGAGATGACCCAAGAATCGCCCCAGATATGTCTAAAACTGAACATATACTGTCCCACTTCCAAAATTATCTTTCCTTTTTAACTAAACTATTTTTCTTAGTGATGCTCCCATGTATCACTAAGTCACAAAATCTCAGCATTTTATCGCTCTTTCATTTCTCCCTTGCTCTCTAGATCCAAGCAGTGATGGTGTCCGCACATGGTTTAGTCTGTCGTCGTATCTCTCTTATCCATGTCTTCTGTTCCATTCTGTTTGCTGTCACCCAGGTTTTAGACCCTAGCTTAAACACTACATACTGAATCTACTGCAAAACCTACTGTTACTATCTTAATCAGTCCCCCAGCCTACCTTTATGGCCTCCTTTACCTCTCTGCCCCTGTGAAATGTGGTTCAGCCAGAATTGGGAGAAAACATATTTGGTATAGAAAGGGTATAAATTGAACCTTTGTTTATATTTTCCAGTTTCTCTGAGCTCATCTATTTATGTAAATCCTTCAAGACCTGTCTTTGCAAAGCCTTTGCTGACAGCCCAGCATTGTCTTTCTCCTGTGTTTTGAACATATGTGGTGTTCCGTGGGGTCACCAATTTTGTTGTTCATCTGTTCTGTCTTCCCACGTGACTTTGAAGCTCTTGAGAATAACTGCTTATATTACCCACTAGTGTCTTAAAGCATAGTAAGCCCTTAGTGAATATTTGTTGATTGTATTTTTTAAAATGTGTTTGAATGTTAATATCTAATATTCTGGATCGAGAAAAATGTCATTTTCTAATGTACTTTCCATTAAGTCAATAAGTATTTCTAGAATATTTCAGTTCTGCTAGGTTCACATTCTGTATCTGAAAGACTAACGGCTTCAGGAATACTTTCCTTGAATTTATCTTCCCTTTCAGGTTGTGTTTAGTTAAGAAAGCAGTGGGGAATTAGTTACCTTATTAAATCTTTAGTCCATTTGTTAATTTGTCAATTCAGAGTAGTAGTCCTTGACAATTTTATATATAATAAGCTCAAAAAACAATATTTTTTTGTATTGCTTTTAAAATGCGTACTTGCTATTTTTAGAAATAAATATATGTGTGTGTAAGTCCAAAATTTATGTGTATTTGGTGCAAAGATGACCTATCTAACCTTACTCCTTCCTCAATTTTCTTACAGCAAAGTTCCCTGATTACAAATCAACATGGTCCCCAGATCCCATAGGACACAACCCCACTCATCTCTCCAACAAGATGTGGAAAAACCATATTTCCTCAAGGAACACTACACCGCTGCCCCGCCCGCCTCCTGGTCTGACCAACCCCAAACCATCATCTCCCTGGAGCAGCACAGCACCGCGATCAGTCAGGGGGTGGGGGACACAGGACTCACGGCTTGCCTCCGGTGAGAAGGATCTGCCTAAAGGAGCATCACTGTTCAAACACAAGGGTCTTACGTTAACACAAATGGTGAAGACAAGATGAAGTCTTCACCAGAGAGGAAATTCAGGTTGGCTGGTAGAGGAAAAAGTATCTCTGGAGTGGAAAATTGCAGTCAGGTTAAGGCAAAGGGACCCAAGAACCCCCAAGGTACTGATGGAATAAAAGTGACAGACAGCAAAGTGAGAGCTCTAGGAGGAAAATGTCTTGTAGAGAAGACATAAGAGTGCATAGGGATCAAGGTCTAAGAGAAGAGAGCTGGCTACTTAGTGACAAGATAAAGGTCAGAGTGAGATGGAAAAGAGAATGATTTATACAAGCAGAGAAGCAGCATGTGGGCTCTATGAAAATGTTTCTCACTCATGCCTTTAATGCTTCTTTCTAATCTGTTTTTTGGTTGCTTACAGCCTCTACCTGGAGTGATGGTGGTTCAGTTCGTCCTAGTTACTGGCTGGTTCTTCACAATCTCACTCCACAGGTAACCATGCTGTCTTGTGATTTTCTACATGGGACTTAATTGTGTTAAGAGAGAGAAACTCAGATGTAGGAAGACACGAAAACTCATGTATTTCCTGTCACTGCAGAGGGGTCCAGCCTGCAAGGGTGTGTCTCCTCACCCAAGGCTCAAAGCCTACTGCTGAATGGGGGATGTTGGCCACTCAGCTTCACGCCTGCCTTCATGGTGATGTTAACACGGGCAGTTTATAAAATAGTGACAGTGGGGCATTATTACCTGGTGAATTCTGTTTAGCAGAGATAACTTGCTATGTAGATGTGCCTGTGAGAATCTAGAACTTAAGTGGGAGATGGCTGTTTAAGTGTTTTAACCACATGCAAAAAACGTTACCTATTTTTATGTTGGTAATCAAAGACTTGAGGCTCGATATTAACTGTTTTCCTGCTTCATTAATAATTAATCATCTACCTCTGCAGAAGGAATGTGTCTATCTCATAGCTTAACTACCTGGTGGGTACTTCTGATTTTCTCTCTGTTACCCTCTTTGTAGATCGCATTACTCGTTTCCATCATCAGAACATGCCCACAGGGTTGTTTGTACTGTAGTGGGACTTCATTTGTACCAAAGCTCCCTCTCTTCACACTGGTCGCTTGGTAACTGACATATTTGCAGCAGCGTTATGTGAACCCATCGAAACTGAGCCCATAACTTTCATTTGGACTTGCCAGCACAACCTTTACAGCACCTTGTTAAAAGGGATCAGTTATGCCTCCCTGCCTTTGACACACAGAATGATTTGTCTAGCATTTAATTCATAAACGGGTTCCTGTACACTTTACTAAGCTAGCACTTTCCATAGTGGTTCTCATGGGATATTAGTAGGTGTCTGGCCTAATATGTTTGAACTGTATACTTGGTTAAATAAAATTAAGCAGGTTTCTTCACTATGAGACTTTTTAGTTCCTTTAATATGCTAACATGTATTTACCCTCTGTGGGGAAATATATTTGCCCAGTGAACCCATTTGAGGGGAGTAAAGCCAGGGCTTGTATTTCATGGTACATGTTTAGAATGGCAGTTTCCTAAATACAGTTAACATGAGAAGGAGTCTGGATTGGTTCTTAATCTCTATAACTAATAACTCAGCTAAAAGCCCCAGGTTATTTAGCTAACAGTTGACTGAAACATGAATATTTTCTGTAACCATTCTCAAAACTATATCTTTCTCATTATTTCAAAGCAGTCACACTGTGTGGTGGGTATAGTGTGGTTAGGATGAGAGAAGGGGTACACTGTATTGAAATGAGCCTGGGCAAGCCAACCAGCTATTCACTTCTGTTTTATAATGTGAAAAATAGTACGTACATCTATATGTGTATGTAAAAAGAATATAGGGGTTGGCTGTGTTTGTATTAGAAAGGATTCATTCATTTTAAAGATTAACAGTGCCTAACAGCAGACTCATCTCAGTTGTAGCTTAAAAGAAGGTTATAAGGTCAAATCCTTGAGACCTGGATAAATTTACCTTTTATTACCTAAATTTGTTTAAAAGACGTCTGTCCTGAAAAATCACTAGTGGCCTACACTGATATGCTTCTGTAGACAATTGTCACTTTAAAAACTGCTAAGAGCTGTTTCTCCAATCATTTTCTATAAAGAACTGTGGGGAAACTGCCAGTTTCATCCCGCAGGGTTTCCATGGTAAAACCACAGAATGTTTCCACTGCTGCCGCCAGTAGCACAACTTTTGAAGGCTCTTCCAATAGTAATCTGTTCACTTCCAAAGAAATGAACTGAAATGTTGGACTGAGCAGCTTAAATAAACATAGTTGAGATCTTGATACAAATAAATTAATCGGAGTGAATAAATAGATTTGTTCATTTAAGTCATAGGGAGGGCAGTTATCCCCAATCACTGTACATCTTAGTGGTGAGAGTCTGGCTAAGGTAAGCAGCTATAACTTTTGGTCCCATTTGCAGCAGGCAGCAGAGGACAGAGAAGCAGGTAGAATCAGTCTCACCTTAAGATGGCCAAAAGGAGTAAGAGGACATGGGAGTAGTCTGTGAGCTGGGGCAGCCAGCAGTGCTCTTAAGTCAGGTGGGAACATCAGCCTTTGAGCGTGTACACCCCTAAAATCATTTAGTCTGACCCTGCCAACACAGCCACAGGCGGGACTCGAAATTCAATAAATCTAGAAGCTTTTTTCATAGCTAATTTTTAAGTTGATAATTTTGTATGGCCCTTGAATGATGCTATAAATATCCAAATGGCCCTTGGCAGAAAAAAGGTTCCCCGTGCCTGCTCAAAATCATCAGATGGTTAGCAGTGCTTTTCTTGTTTGTGGCTTCCTCTCTAGCTCTTTGTGAGATTGTTAACTGGGGAAGTGGAAGAATACTACATTAGTAATGATGCTGAGAACGTTGCATGTTTTCTTAAACTCTTATTTGTGTAGCATCTTATTTCTGCTTTTTAAAGCTCTACAAATCAGCACATGTTCACGTGTTTGCCTCTTAAAGAATATAGACCATGGGTTGAATCATTTATTTTTGTTTTGAGCTGCATTTGTGCAAACTTTTTTATTTGCAAAATGGTCACATTAGATCTCAGCCCAGTGCTTTGAATATCTTAAAATTTCCTTTTAAGACCTCTGTGTTCAATGCACTCTTTCCTTAGAGTTCTTCATTCATCTCTCCCAGACTTACTTAGTACTGATACTATTATTTACAAACCAGAAGCCCGTCTCATTCTCATATGTAAAAAAGGTCACTTGACTTCCTTTCACACACCCCCCCCAGATTTTACCTCACGAATGTCTTACTCCTTAGATTGATGGGTCAACCTTGAGAACCATCTGCATGCAGCATGGCCCACTGCTGACATTCCATCTGAACCTAACCCAGGGCACCGCCCTGATCCGATACAGCACCAAACAGGAGGCGGCCAAGGCCCAAACTGCACTGCACATGTGAGTATCTATCCTATGCTCACTGAGATAAACACGCAGGAAGATGTACACATGAGTATTCTGGCACCTGCTTAATTAAACAAAGATGCATGAGACATGCCCAAAATGACATGATTGCATAAGCAGTTGTTTGGTACTGAGGTGGCTGATCTTTACCTGCCTAAGCATGGATTGTCCTGTGTATATGATAGGCCGATAAACAAAATTCCACAAGTGAAGAATTTGTGAAGTAGTGAATAAATTTTAAGTACCATAAAACAAAGCCAGTATCTACGAAAATGTGAAACCATAATTATAGTCTCTTTTCATAATCGTATCTAACTGCTTACTTTGGCTTCTTTGTGGGTGATGGTGAAATATTGTGGTCTTGGTGGATGGCAGGGGTTTTCCATGAAGTAGGTGGGACTGGATCAGATTTTGACCATCCCCTTCCCTGCCACTCTCAAACTGGTGAACAAGAAAGAACTGACTCCCTGTGGCTACAGATGCCACAATAAGCAGCTGCACACAAAACAAGCAAGTGAGCCTGCCACTGATACAGAGCAGCATTTCCAGGTGTTTGAAGCTGGGTCACCTTGATGCTGTGTGTGATCTTTTATCTCCCATTGGGGGGGAAAGAGGTGACATCATTCTTGACATATAAATTTCACATACCAAGGGCTATCGATCTATAGTATCCTAGAGTAGTCTTTGGATATCCTGAGGTTTTGTGGTACCTTAATGCTTTAAATCAGTACCTGGCAACCTGGTTAAAATGCAGGTTCTGATCCTGCGATTCTGCATTTTCAAAAGCATCCGGGGGCTGTGGACACTTCTTGTCAAAGGGCTGCACTGTGTATAAGAAGGACTGAAATACTCAGTCCTTGTGTGCTTTAAGGTTTCCCTCAACCCATAGCTCTCCCTCCCCCTTTTTTCCAGGTGTGTATTGGGAAACACTACCATCCTGGCTGAGTTTGCTACCGATGATGAAGTTAGCCGCTTTCTGGCACAAGCTCAGCCCCCTACACCTGCAGCAACACCGAGTGCACCTGCAGCTGGTTGGCAGTCGCTGGAGACCAGCCAGACCCAGTCAGATCCCGTTGGACCTGCTCTGAATCTTTTCGGTGGGTCCACAGGGCTCGGGCAGTGGAGCAGCAGTGCTGGCGGCAGCAGTGGGGCCGATCTTGCTGGCGCTTCATTGTGGGGGCCCCCAAACTATTCTTCTAGCTTGTGGGGAGTCCCAACTGTGGAAGATCCCCATAGGATGGGCAGCCCTGCTCCTTTACTACCTGGTGACCTTCTAGGAGGAGGGTCGGATTCAATCTGAACTTAGAACTTTCAACTCTGACCTCGTGACCTTTTTTGGAACAGCAGCAGCACTAACTTGACCTTTTCGTTTTTTTTTCAACTTGCAATAAATACATTTTTAAAAGGAAAAAAGAAAACGGAGAGAGAAAAAAAGGTGGGTCATTGACAGACTGTCTGAGCACATAGTTGCCTCCCTTATAACTTCAGTTTTTTCGTTTGGAATATGAATCCAAAAAGAGAACATATCACTCTTGAAATACTTGAATCATGAACGCCAACCTAGAAAGACAATGTGAAGCAAGTACACATACCATTTAAATTTAAACTCAAAAAAATTAAAAAAATTAGTTTCTAGTTTTTCACTTTTTTCATGTTATATGGAAGTTGTTGCTAAGAAACATATATACTGAAAAAATAGCTTTTTAACTTTGTTTGCACTGGGTGTGTTTCCGTCCTTAGGTCTACCATGTTTGGGAGGGAGGGGAATTCAAAAGAATTGTTGGGGTGGGGGGAGGGAAGACTTGACGGAGCCTCACTTTAAAAACAAAAACAAAAAAACCTAAAAAAAAAAAAAAAAAAAAAGGAAAAAATTTGTGATTGGCTGGTTGATAAATACCAGTGTGTTCTGGCACATGTAACTGCCCAGGCATGCTCGTTCTGGTATGTGTGTGCACGTGTTCCTGTGCATTCGCGTGCATCTTTCTCTGTCTCTGTGTGTGTGCCTGTGTCTTCTGCCTCCTCCTTCCTGACCCTGGTTTCTCAGAAAGCTGCGTTGCTGACAGTCTGCAGGCTGGCTGGCCGGCCATCTACTTTTTACTTTTATTATTATTTTTTTTTAATTGAGAACACACAAGCACGGGGAGCCACTGCTTATACTAAAGCAACTCCTTTGGGCTGCATTAAGATGAACAGAGTGCTTTTTAATAATGAAAGCAGGGAGCTCCTTTACATCTGCAAATTAGCCTGAGTGTGAGTTTTCTCTAGCTTTTCTTTTGACCTAGCAGTAGAGTGGAGCACTGCCAAGTCCAAAAATTTAGGAGAGCAGGAGGTACCTCTTGGAGCAGCTGTGTGTTTATTTCTGTTTTTTAAAATGCGTGGCCACTAGGCACATCTGAATATCTGTTAAGTTTTATGCGGCCTTTTCGTTACTTTGAATGGGAACAGGTGACGAGATAGTTTTTAATTATGTGACGTCTCAAAAGCGGAAAAACTGTGTTCCCCTCCTTTCTTGTCTAATCAGGTATGAGAAATTCATCAGAAAGTCAGGTAATGCTGAATTAAATATTTCTATTCTTTTTCATTTTGTGAAAACAGAAAAAAAGTAAGTTGTGAGCAGCCTCCTGAAAGCATCCGCAGCTCTCCCTCTCTGCTCCTTTCTTGCTGAGCGTTACCTGTGCCAGGCCGTGGCGTGTTACAGCACCAGGCCATCACTGACAGAAACGTTTACTTAACGAATGTTCTTAAACCAGTGTGTACTTCAAGCGTTTCCTTTTGTTCTCTGTGTTGTGTATTTCCTGTGTATGTGGTTTTGCTTAGGCAGGTATAACTTAGCAAAGACTTTTAAGTATTGCACCTTTTTTTGGTTTTGACCTCTTATTTTTTTTTTTCCCTTATAATGTTGCTTTTTTTATTTCGGTATTTAAAGACTTTTTAAAGCATCAATGTAGTAGTACTCTGGGCCGAGTAGGAGGCAACTTTTAATCCACAGTTACCACCAACATGTATGTACTTATGTTGGAATCAAAATGTATCAAACTGCGTTTTGTGAAGAGAGCTATAGCAGCCCTGAAGGGGTACCCTTTATACAAAGCAGATGGGGGGGAGGGTCATATGCCGGTAACGTGCTAGCACTTGTGTGGACATCCCAACCTGCATTATACTGTTTAACATAAAGTGCCGACATTCTGTACCAGCAAATACCTGCCCATTCCAGCCCTTGGTGGGAGCAGACCTCTACTGTCCTCCGGAACTTGCTGCTAGTGAGGACAAAGGATTTTTCTTCTTTAGCATCTTCAGTGAAGGGTATAACAATGCCTAATGTATTTGACTTTCAGCTTGTGTCTTTGTGTAGGTGGGTGGGTGGGTATGTATAGTAAAGGCAAAAACTCATTTAAGTGGTTTTGTGAGACAAAGAATGGGAATTCTGTAGTCCTCTCGGCTTACCCTGTTGATTATAAGCCTAGCCTCAAAAGAGATTGACGTGCGTAATTCAAGTGAGCATTCGCTCTTACAAGTCTTTATGACCCCTTCGTGGGTAGGTGGTCAAACTTGAGTTTCCAGCATTGGTTTGGTCCCATTGGATGCCTTGTAGAAAACTAACTGTGCCCTCCTCCTGCTCTCCAGTTTTCATCACCACCATGCCCCTTCCACCTCTGCCCACATACACAGTGTCTCCTCCCAGCCCCACTGACTGCTCTCTCTGTGGAGCAAAACCCTGTCGTGGTGACCTTCAGGTGAAGAGCAGCTATGTTCAGACACCTACAGAAGGCTAACTCTTAGTTTCCCTAGGTTAGGAGCATGTCCCAAGGCTCCCAAGAGCCAGTGGTGACCCTGCCGCTCTGGTTTCCTGCCGTGTCCTGCCCCACCCTCCACTCTTCCAGCCTGTTGGTTCCTTGACCTGCACTATGGGTTAGTTGAGTTCCTTACGATACTACGGTGAAAGCCGGGTGCTAGAAGCCCCTCTTGTTTACAAGACATACTGAGGGATTTGAAATATGTAAAATTAGCATGAGAAGCTAAAATGTTCTTCCATCATAAGCTTAAAGGGAAAAAAATTAAAAACTTAAAAAAGACCAAAAAGTGCGTATATATATATATATATACATATAAATATATATTTTAGATGAAGACTAACTCTGGGAGCATTTAACAGTGTTTTTTGTTTTCGTTTTTAACATTTATTTTCCTGCTTTAAAATTTGCAAGCATTCTCAGGAATTCTAGGGTAGGAAGCCAGTTTTTGAAGATGGTTTATTTAACCGTATCTTATCCTAGATAGACAGCTCTTTCTTTCCTGTTAATAAACTTTTACAAGTTCCTGAAACTTCAAAAAGTTTAAACAATTTTTACTTAAGAAAATGTAAAAAGAAAAGTCTCCAAATGTTATTGTCATACTGGGGAATCACACATTTTAAAACATGTAGACATATTTTTTAAAAATGATCAATTTAGCAGCAACAGGTAAATTCATTATCTTTAAAAATACAGGAGAAGGACAGCTTCATCAGAGCTCTATTGCAGATTTATTTGGAAGCGTAATTTAACGGGAGAGCGTTTGGTGTATATAAATGGAAATTCCATACGTTGTTCCTTTCCATTTAAGACCGGACTGAAGTCTCCCCTACTCATTTTTTTTTAAAGTAACCCTTCTCCCTGTCCCCCAGCCCTACCAACAAAAGAAAGGAAGAAAGAAAGAAACAACAGCTTAAAAAGAAAGTAACTCTACTCTGTAAAATAGTACTGTTGGATTGCTGAGAATCTATGTAAAGAGTTAGGAAATATAGGTTAATAATTTTTGGAACAAATTTTAAATATAGGCATTACTAGAGGAAAAGTATCTATGGACTGTTCTGTTAATGAAGACAAACTGTCTTGCCTCCGTTTGTTATGACAGGAGGCAAAAATAATAGAATATCTAATAAGGAACAAGTGATTTTACTTTTTTCGCTCCCAGCTACTGTTGTGCTCATTTTAATTGCTATTTTGAAGATCTGCTGCTTAATTATCCCCACCCCTCAGCCGGAGATGCGGAGTGTTTCCTTTTAGTTTGGGTAATGTCAAATTCTCCTTTTGTATTCCCTCCTGGGGCCCAGGGTCAGAATTCCCTAGCATGACCGCAGCTTCTTTTAAACATCTAAGCTTCCCAGTGGGAAAGAAACTCCCGCTCGACAGGTAAAGGGAGTGGGTGGCGTTGCTGCCTGCAATTTCTCTAAAACCGCGTTAGTGCCTTCGTACATACACCCAGGCGTCCTAAGCAGGGGGAACACGTGTGTGTGTGTGCATGTCGTCCAGTCACTCCACAGACATTAAGACACTTGCCTATTAAGGAAATTGGAGTGGTTCTGGACAGGCCCCAAAGGCAGTGGGCTAAATTTAAAATAAATAAGCAGAAATCAAGGAAGTTAAATATGCTTTTATGTCTCGAAAATGTGGAATGCCAAGATCTTTCCTTGTGTTGGTGCCCTCCCTTACTGTGCGTTGACTTCTCCAGGTGTGTCAGTGTGACAGCTAGAGTGATCTGGAAAGTCTGTGTCGGGCCAATAGAAAGGGGTTTGTGTTTTTCTATTCTTGTCCTTCCTCTCCTCCCTTTCCCTGCCCTTGTTCTTTCTTTTCTTTTTTTCCTTTGTCAACTTTCTGGAAGCTCTGCTTTATTGGTTGGCAGTGACCTAAGAACAGGATATAGTGAGATGTAATGGGAGAGAAAAACTTCCTTCCCTGGTATTCTTTGGCAAAAGCCATGTCTGCTGAGAGATTATGTGGCTTCAAAACACTTAGAGAATTTGGTGGGAGCGTTGTCTCTTCCACCACACTCTGGCATGTGTACAGAGGCTTGCTGGTCACCTCTCTTTACACAGATTGACTTTATAAACATTTTGATCATGTAAATTTGAGCTTTCCAGTTTTTCCTAGTTTCCCCTTATTTCTTTAAACACTTGATTACTAGTGGCTAGAGGTGTCCATCTCTCATACATCACAAACTTGGTTTCTGTCTACCACATGAGTAGCCAAAACAAAAGCAGCACTAGTAGGGAAAGGGAGGGATGTCTTCCATCAGACTGGGGACCTCTGCTGGCAGTTGAGATCCAGTGCCATGACCTAATTTTAGGTGTTTTTAAAAAAAAGCAAAGTTCATATCTCCAACACACTGTGAAAAAGTGGATGTGGCATCTCTGATCCCTCAGTCCCTAGCCCTTGACAGTCTTCATTTACAACATTCACAGAGGTTAACTAGCAGTGCTGTAAGCTCAAGCTCCAGACGAATTATCTCATCAGTGTCCCCCAGTAAATTAGCATTATCCATTGACTGCCATTCAATTTGTTGTATTTATAGCGGTTTGATTTTATATTACTATAGCTCCTGTTCTAGGAACTTTCCCACCTCTTCTGACATGAATGTAGCAAAAATTAGCAGTTGGTTCTTCCAAGTTCCTGTGGGTTGAATGTGGTGTATAAGATATGCAACAAAAAAAGAAAGGAAAAGAAATTCCTGCCTAAGAATTTGGAAGAGCTTTTACTAATACATCTAGCAGAAACTAAAATTTCACAGGCTGTTAACTTGTTACAAATACTCACTCTCACTTTCACCACTTTGGGGAGAGGGGGCAGTTTTTGTAGAGTTAACAGCCAGATTCCATATCGACCTCGGATGCTGTGTACTTTTTATTTTTTTATATTCTGGCATCTTGACTCTTAAACAGAATGAAGATGTCTGTGTGCTGAGCAGAATGCTTCAGCCGAGCCTGTTTGCTTTTGCAGTGTACACAGGATGTTTTCCGCAGACTTGGCTGGAACAGCCATCTTGAAGGTTAGGGAACAATTGAGTCTTTATGTGGAAAAGGTCCCCTCTCCCCCTTCCTCAGAGTTCAGATTCAACATTTGACACTTTGTAGGTTATTGTTTTGGGTTTGGGTTTTTTCTTTTGTTTTAATTATCTATAAGGTCGTTAGCTAGGAGTCGAGATACATTTATAGCTTGTTAAAATAAAAATCAACCTTTTTCTTCTCCAGTGTTTTTGCCAAGTTTCGTCACACTTCATGTCTCTGCATTAACTACACTTCTTAGTGCTATTGCAAAAAGAAACCTTATTTGTTGTTTTTCCTCCTGTGAGTGTATAACAACCAGGCTACATGCAGTGTGCAGAGGAACATAGTCTAGCCTGTGTGTATACAGTGAATTGTCAACCTTTGACCTCAGCATCATTCAGAAAATAGGGTGTCCTTGCCCTTCTCCTCTGCTGCACCCCATGCCACACCCCCTCTGCTTTTCTTACACAAGTACAGGGTGTCCACACAGTCTAGATACAGGCAAATATATATAATGTTGTCAAGGACATCCTCAGCTATTAAAAACAGTTAGAGTGCACCCTGTGGTGTGGTCTGTAGGTTTATGACCAGTGCCAAAGGTATGTGTATTTTCAGAAGTGGTCCCCGTTTATCAACAGTGGTGGTGTTTTCTTGACCTTAAGTTTGACAGAGGAGGTGCTGGCATCCCATTCTTTAAATTTGAAATAATTATCAACGTCAAAATCTATGAACATCGTAATAACTTAAAAATTGAAGATTGGCCCTCCCTAGCCCACCCAGAATGCCTCCTCCCCACCCACACCGCCAAAGAAAAGAGGCCCTGAGCACCTATAGGATGGTGAAGGGAGCACTGGTCAGGAAACTGTTACTCCCCATCAGCTGGGCATCCATGCTGTCCTTCAGGCGGTCACTCAGACTAGGTCCGGAGTAATTACCAAGTGTTCTAACATTTGAGTGGTTTTTAAATTGTCAATCTCTTGTAGTAACCCGCTACCACCACCAAAAATAGCAAAAGTGACCGAAACTGCCAGTGTTTGCCTCACAGAATTTAAATGGTTCCCTTGTCAGTTAGCTGTACACCTGAAGTTATTATTAACGAGAACCTGCACGCCAGGAAAAATGGTACTACCCTGATCAAAGGGTCTCTGCAAGACTCAGTCGTTGGTTCTTCATTTTGCCAGCTCTTGTTTTCATCATGGAAGGGAAAGGTCAGATAGAAACGAGAAATGTTTTTCATTTTAAAAAGAAAGTGTTTCCCTAATAAATCATTGCTTTGGAAATAAAATCCCAATTGTAATTGACCCATTTGGGGGCAATATTAAGAAGTTGGGATTGTGTATTTTATAACTAATGGTGAGCAGCAAAGACAAGTGGCGAGGGTATCTTCCGGTGTTGCGGCAGAGCTGCGAAGTGAACTGCTTTTCCTTCCCTTCCCCTCCCGTGCTTTCTCCGGCCACTTACTGAAGTTGGCAGCCCTTCTCCTTGGGCTACTGAAAGGCGTGCGCAGTTCTCTGAGGGCTGGGTTGGAAGATGTGACCGAGGTGAGATAGAGCGGCCTTACTGCAGGACTAGCCTTACAGCAGAGCTTTATGGAGAGGAAGATAGGTATCCTACATGTGTTCGCCAAAAGTGAAAAGGGGGGGTATTTATGCGAGACCAAGGCAAAAACCTTTGGAACCGTTTAAGAAGTTACATACCTTTTAAAGGTAGTATCGTTTCTCACTAAGTGATACATTTAGCATACACTTCTTGCCAGAAATTGTGGGATAAGCTAGAATAAATGTGTTTAAAACACCACCCCATCCCCCCTTTTTAATTTTGTCTAAGGAATTAATTACTTAAGTGTAGTATTTCTGAATGTGCCTTTGTGAGTACAGAGACCGTCTGTTTTAGGAAGAAGCTGTCCATTAGGATGAAACAGAAAGACGGTCAGCCTAGTCTTTAGGGAAGTCAGCGTTTCTCCTGGCCATCTCCAGGGGCAGCTGGTGAGTTTTCATTAGCATCAATATTGCACAGTGTAGAGTTGTGTGGAAGAGGCTCTGGGACTTGGAAGAGGGGGCAGCGAGGTGATGGTGCACAGGTGACAGAGACCTAGGTTAGTCCAAGAGTGAAGGTTGAATTTACCTATCTACATTGCCTGGTTTTCTCCGTGTATATGTGTGTGTGCACGTCTGGTTGTCTTTTTGTTTCTCTGTGAGCACTGGAGAACTGAAATATGGTGATGTTCGTGACACATTCATGCATGTCAAGAAGGCGCTTCCCGGCTTCTGCACGCGGAGCGGGCGGCGCATCTCCACCCTCTGAGTCTGTGTCCTGAGAAGGCAATTATTTTCCCAAATGGAAGTCATTTTGTGTTGCTGTTTATGTGAACAGGGTATTACACACAAGGAAAAGGCTTTTGAAAGAATAAGATTGAAGTGTTTGAGAAAGAAAAATCTGAAATCATGTTTTATTTCTTCCGAACTATTATAGCTAAAACATAGAAACCTGCAATGTCTTTTCATTTGTTTTTACTTGTTTTAAACAATTCCACCTCTTCTCCCCACTCCCAATCTTCTAAAGAAATATCAAGTGAATGCTAAGGGCCATTTCCATAATTCCTCAGAACTCCCCAAAGAGGAAACCAATCCCTCCCGCAAGATTCTTTCAGCTTCCTTCAGCTTCCTTCAGGAAGACAAAGGGAGGAGAGATGCTGCAGCTCTCTGTGCTTCACTCTCATTCCTCTCGAATGGCCTTGAAATGTATTATTATGCAAATGTGAATTTTGATACTGAATTTAAGAAGAGGTTGTTGGATTTTTTTCTTTTTTCAAAAAAAAAGTCCCATACGTGGTCATCATTGCTTCTTTATTTTGTGCCGTGAATTGTAACTATGCATTCTGCAAAAGGGGGGCAGAGAGGGCAGAAAGGGGAAGGGAGTAGCTTTGCATCTTCTGTGGTTTCTGTGTCCATGGCATCCCATGTCCTGACGGGGCAGGGGAGTGGGAGCATGAAGCGGTAAGGTCGGCACAGCACAGCGAGGTGCAGAGACCTCTGGGTCCCCCCGCGGACGCTGGCAGGCCTGGTGGCCCCGCGAAACCAGTGTGGTACAGGATTCTCCGTCCTAGCCGTGCAGTGTTAACCCAGTGCAACAGTGGGGCCCCACAGGCTCCAGTGTTCTCTGGAAAAAGTACTCATCCTTTCCTGAATACAGAACCCCTTCAAGCTCAGGAAACCATGCCTCACTCGTGCTGACCTTCAAGTTCACCTTAATGTCAACTTCGAAAACCTCCTCCTCGCTCCTTTTTTTTGTTCTTCCTTCTTAATCGTTTTTAGAGAACTTAATTATAAGGAAACTGTCTTGCTCTAAGCCTGGGGAAGGGGATTGTTGCTTGGCAGGCAAAAGGATTCTCTTCCCCATCCACTGCCCCTCAGCCAAACATGACCTCTGCTTCCCTGGCATCCAGCCATGTATAGCTAGCGAGCAGGGAGGTGTTTGACACGGACAAGCCAACAGCCTTCTCTTTGTCCTAACAGAATTCCTTTGTGGATCTTGCCTGTGGTGAATCGTGGCACCTGCATTGCTCTGGTCTAGGCATTATTAGCAACACACAGTATCGTACACAAGAGATTGTTCTGCCCGTGTTCAGTGTTTCCATGCAGCAGCTCTTGTCCACAGTACTGTAATGAGTCACAGACTTGACCACAGTCTCCTTGTGCCCGGGCAACGGTGCATGGGCACGATCTTATCAGGGTTCCAATCTGTTAGATTGCCTTCAGACAAAAAAACAAAACAAACAAAAAAAGTAAAATCCTGGCGTTTCAACTGTCTAACACAAAACAATACCTCGAGGTACATTTCCCTTACAGTGTAGACCTTGACTCCCCTCTCCTTTTCTGACAATAGTGGATTATCCTTTTGAAAATATGAACATGTAAATAGCAGGATAACTTCTATAATTTTTTTTGCTGTGAAAGTAACCCTAAAATATGATACTTTTCTCTTTTTTTAAGTCGTCAGAAGTTTCAGATCTTACTCTTTCATGTTGGAGAAAGCAGAACAGGTCAGGGCATGGACTTGCATTTGTGGGCTGGTGTTCTCTCCATTGCCTCCCATTCACAGCGACTGCAGGCCAGTGTCTGAAGCCTGTTATAATAGATACCATCTCTTCCAGCCTTCTAGCTCCAGGGTGGGGAGTGTCAGAATTTCTCTCTTCCGGAAGATCCATCCCCTCCAGGGTTCCAGAATGTTTTCCACAGGAGACCCTGAGCCCTCAACCTTTCTTGATTCACACACATACGCACAGTAAGTGTGTAGCATTCTGTAGTTCACAAAGGGAATTAGTCCCTAGAATTTATAGCCTTGTCACTTTGTGATACTCTGGAAATGTATTGATCTGTTACTTAAAAAGAAACTCATCTGAGATGTGCAAACAACCGCCCTAAAAGGCATGTGCACCCTCAGTTGTTCCCCCCTTCGTGAGGCTTGGCTGACATTAGGTAGAGGGACATAAGTTTAACAAATGCTGCTTGTAGGGATCTGTCAGCTGCTGCTCTCTTAGATTTGGCCACTTACACAGCAGGGTCGGAATGGATCATTTTGAGCAGCTTCTTCACAAACACCCCCTTCCCCCATTTTAAAAAGAAACCCTGTATCCGTCAAGAACCCTTTTTACTTTTGACTTGTATAGTGACGACTTCCTTTGACAGGAAGAACCTTGATTATAAATGCACGCATATTCACCACCCACCTGATTTCGGCCCTTTGGGCTTTCCTTCTGTTTGTTTGGAGACCTCTTTTCTATCAGTCTCCTTCCTCTGAACCCTCAAAAGTCCTTCCCATGCTCATCCCTCTACAATCCTCCCAAAGGGCTTTGCTAACCTCTGCACTTCTTTCCTGGGGCACTCACTCCCCCACCACCACCCTTTGCACACACACCTGTGACCAAAGTGTGTCCAGTGATCTCACAGAAGACATCAAAAATGGTGCATGCACCTCGAATGTGCTCACAGAGACACGTGCACAAGGATTCTGCACCCTTGGCCTTAACCTCAGTATGACTTAAGGTGCAGGAACATTTTTAACAGGTTTAAAAAAAGATACCCTTCTGGGAGGCGGGGAAAAAGCAGACACAAGAACTCAGCTGTGCTGGCTTCTAACTATCCACTATTTGCTTACAGCTTCAAATTCTGTGCCCACCCCACCCCACCCCCACCCATTTTGATTAACCAAAAACAGACAAGCAACCTGAGGAGAGATTTCTGGACTATTTTGTCTTTCTCCATTTAGATGGAGATATAAATGCTGCTTTGGGTTCCATAATCCTAGGGGGCTATGTTTACAGAGTAAAATACATCCTACCAAATCAGGAAACTGAATCATGGAACCTCTGCAGTGAGAGTTAGGTCACTGATGGTGAACCAGAGAAGCGAGGAGTCTGGGGGTGCAGAGGAGAGAGGGAGAAGTCCCATTTCAGTCTCATGACATTGTGCTCCCTTCCTCCGCTCTCCTCCCTCCACTTCCCCTCTTGCCGCCTCTGAACAGAAGGTGCAGAGAAGGGCTTCAGAAAGAGGCTAGAGTTTTCAAAGGCAGCTTTCCAGCTTTGCACACAAACGTAACAGGAAGGTACAGGAGAAGTCCTCTCGTCTGAAACACTGTCAGCAGAAACAACCTGCCAGCGTGACCGAAGCTGCGCACATCGGTGCCCCGCAGGTTACCCAGAAGTGTTTTGTTTTTCTTATACTTGAAATAGCTTTGACGATATTGTTGGTGGCTTTCTTTCCTCTTCTGGTGGGCCACAGAGAGAGTGTATGATGGGGTTTAAGGAAGTTTGAAGGGAGAAAAGGAAGGATATGGCATTGTCTTTTTGTTTTTTTCCTTAAACATAGAGGTTTAATCAAACTCCCATATGTTGAAATTGCTCCTCATATTACTGGTTTTACATGGACACAGAAACTAGGCACTTTAGAGGTGCACTTGCATGGCAGGCTGGGCCCCCCTTTTCTATATTTTATTTTACTTTTTTAGTATAGTGGTACTTAAAATCACTGGTTCACTTAAAAAACAAACAATAAAATGTTAAACTCTACTAATGTACAAATAAGCTGAAAAGTTGCATTTTATGTGTATTTTTTGCCATAGCAGGTACTGTATTTCTCATGCTGGATTTCAAAAAAAAAAATCAAAAACAAAAAAAACTAAAGGGTGGTGTCTTATTGGATTGCGACAGGTTGCGTAATAAGGAATTAAGTCTTCGTCATTTCATTAAAACTGAGAGATGATGTAATGCATATATAAGAGTTTTCTGAAGGGTTTTTTGGGCTTTTAAACGGCTTATTTTTGTTTTTGTTTAGTTTTTTATTTTATTTTATTTTGGAAAGATATGATTGTATTATGTGCAACTCAGTTGCTTACATTATAACTACAAAATATTTTTGGGTTCCTGGAAAACAAAAAAGAAAAAAGACTAATAAATGTGTTTGGCTGCTAAGCATTTATTGAGGTTTCCTGTTTTATTCTGCCAATTTAATTTGCTCATTTGTTGAATGTTTACATTTTTTCTACTCTTCTTTCTCTGCCTGCTCCACACCTAAAAGCCATCCAAAATTCAGCATCTAAATTGGGCCTTAACTTGGTCTATCTTGCCTTGGTATGTTTTCTTTGTTGGGGTTGGCCGGTTGGTGGTGGGTTCCTGCTTCCTGCTCTCGCTGCCGGCCACAGTGCAGGTTTGTCCTGCCTTTTGTTGTCTCATTTAATCCTTACTTGCATTTGGAATGAAAGCCCAAGAGAGGGTAGAGGAAAGAAGAGAGAAGACTCCTGCCTAGGGCTGAAGCAGCCAGCTCTGACCAGAAAACACCTGGGCGCTCCCTACCCCGCTTTGAGTGCTGCTGCCAGGAGCATTAGAGCCTTCCCCTAAAGGCGAGGTTTTCCCCATCCAGATGGCTTACTTATCGTTAGCTGCTAAAAGAGAGACTTGTTGGGACATGGCATTATGGAACACCTCCAGAATAGCAAAGGGGAGGAAGTGAGGGAAACTAATGCTAACTCCCAGGTATTTGACTTAATTCTCAGAATGCTGTGTGAACAGAGAGCAAACCAATTTCATAAGGAAACTGCGGCTCAGAATAATTTAATTCTCTGATAATAGGTAGTATTGATTGATTGCTTACTATAAGCTGGGCACTGCTCCAAGCACACTATTTATATTCATTCACTCACTTAATTTAACTTTGTCTTAGTCACTGGTGAAACCATACTAGGAACCCAGATAGGATTCAGAAGTTACCATGCCAGAATGCCCCTGCTGCAAAACACCTGGGCTTCTGAGAAAATGGTCTTAAAACAGGCCTGTTGTACACAGTGGTAGGCCACATGCCATCCAGTTCTAACATCATAAAATAAGTGAACCGGGAAATCAGAAATGAGAAGAGGTGAACTCTTCAAAAACATCTTGAGGGCCAGTCTGTTACAAGTAAGTGCTTTTTTTTTTTTGCTTTTTTTTTTTTTTTTTAAGAAATAAAGATCATTGCAAAAACTACAAAGAGCTTTATCAACAAAGACTTTGGCTAGTTTAAAAATGGATCAATGTCTAAGGGGGCATGTGTTGCAGAATTAAAGGTGGTTGTTCAGACTTGAGCATCGTACTCGGCCCTCCTCCCTCACGTGCCCTGCCGTCCTCTTAGCGTGGAAAATCCATGCTAACAGCAGACCTCTACGTTCCTGCAGTCCACCCCAGCCACTCCTGTACTCACCCAAAATAGCTTCTCTCCAGGATCACTAATTTCAGCATTCTTGACCTTGACTTCCTATCCTCCCAACCAACTGGTTCCCACACCTCTTTGGCTGTGTTGTGACCTCATCAGCCACTCCAGGACGCTGACCTATTTCCTTTCTTCCAATCTATCAGCCCTCTCCTTTTTCTCACTTTCTTCCTAATCCAGTTTAGATTTTATTGCCCATAATTTCAATAACATGATTGCTAATACCTATAAATTCCCTTACCCGCCCCCTCCTGTTTTTTGACACCTACATGACAAAATCCCCACTTTGGAAAAACCCTATTTCTGTGTTCCACAAGCACCCAAAAGCAGCATTGTTGGCAGAAAAAAGTCCTTACAGGGCAAATAAGGGCTCCTATAAATGTACTGTAACCAACCAGCAGTGAGACCTTGACAATGCCCAGCAAGCGTCCTGTGTCCACTAATATATGGAGAATATTGCAGGAACCAGAAAATTCACCCACGTCCCTGCTTCCCAACCATGAACAGAGAGGTGCTTCCCCTTCAAGTGCTGGTTCCTCCAGTGCTTGGGATCCTTTGCCTTCCTGCCCCCTTGAGTCCTTTTAGCTCTCCATTATCCACTGCCTCTTCTCATGTTCAGCTGGGGTTCTTGCCAGTCAACATGCCCAAGTCCGTCCCATGGTAAAAGCCCTCCTTTGGGCTCACGTTCTAATTCCTGCCTCACCAGCTACTGTCCCATTTTTCCCCTGGAGAAATGTTCTCTCCTCCCCTCCTGAGTCTCTTCCCATCTGTTTTGTGCCTCTGTCATTCCCCTGGAAGAGCTATCTCTGAGGTCACTGACAACCTCTCTAGTCCAGTGGACATGGCCATTTGCCTCTTGATACCACAACTCCTGGATTTTCTACTATGCTCTAACATGTTTCTTTACTTCCTGTGTCCCCTTCATACTCTTCTGTCTGGTCTTAAAATGTTGGGTTTCATCAGTGTTCCCATCCAGGCCCTCCTTTATTGATGCTGAAATCCTAGGCAGTGAAATCCACCTCCCTGGCCTTTCTCTCCTTTGCCTCTGACTGAGCTCTCAATTTTGGAGTGCCCCTGGGCTCAGTCCTGAATTTCATTTTCTAGTCACATTGCTCTCCCTAGATGAGTTCAATCAGCCCCACTTTTTTAAATAAAACACATCCCCATCCTGCCTAAATTATATCTCCAACCCTGGCCTTTCTGATCTCCTGTCTACTTGACTAATGGCCTATCTACCTTTAAGTCTAATGGACAAATCCCTTCTTCTTTGTCAAATCTAATTCCTTGTCAAATTTACTTCCCCAATCTTTTCCCATCTCAGTAAATGACACCACATTTCACCCAACTGTCCAAAACCATAGCTGCTTCACATCACTGATTTAGTCCATCATGCAGTCCAGTCAATTCTGTACTGAACATATATCTACAAATGGTCCACATCTCTCACACCCACCACAACCAACTTGTGGGTCCAAGCATCCTATGCGCTCACCTGGACCACTGCAGTAACTTCCTAGCAATCTACCATCTTTCCCTTAGCCCCAACCCAGACTGTTCTCTGTTTGTTCATGTCACTACCCTCCACTGGTTTCTCCTTACAATTAAAATCCAAATTCCATACTATGATCTATAAACACACAAATCCCACAGGCACTCTCACTCCCTCTGACTCCTGATCTCAGTCTTACACTAACCCTATTAGCTTTCCTTTTTTTAATCCCACCAAGCTGGTGTTCACCTCAAGGCCATTATATTTATTTTTCCATTGCCTTGGATGCTCTTTTCCTTGCATCTTTGTGTAGTCTCTGATGAAATACGAGCTCTTTCCTGAATATCCTATCAAAAAGTAGCTGTCACCACCCACATCCCCACCCTAAGCTATTCCATGCTCTTGGTCTGTATATTTTCTTCATAGGACTTAACCACTTTCTAAAATTACCTTCCTTATTCCATATTATCCATCCCCCTCACTGGAATGTAACCAGCTCCAGGGCCTGAAACCCTCATGACGTTCATTACGATCTATATGCTAATGATTGCTAAATTTGTATTTCCAACCCTTACCATTGAGCTCCACACCTGTATGTATATAATTGTCTACTCAACCTTTCAAAACACCTGGATATCTTAATGGCACTGCAAACTAAATAAACCCCAAAAGTCCATCCTGCCCATTTGTCCCTCCCACCCTGTGGTAAATGGCATTACTATCCAGTAATAAAACCTAGAAACCTAGGAGCATCCTTCATCCCACCCCTTTCTTTCTTCCTCATAACTAACTCACCATCAAGCTGGATTGATTGTCCCTCTCAATCTTTTTCTTCATTTCCTCTGCCACTTCCTTTGTGCAAGCAAGCTAGATCGCCTACACCACTAGGTCTTATCTAGTCAACTGCATTAACCCAACAGGCTTCTCACTTGGCATTCATGCGAGTTCCCCTGCCCCCAATTCATTCTATACATAATAGCTGGGAATATATTTTTCAAAGCAAATCTGATAGAGCCATCCTCCAGCCTAAAGCCTTTTATTTGCTTCCACTGCTTAGAATAAAACCACCAAATATCCTAATTTTCAACAAGGTTCTTATAATCTGGCTACCATCCACTTCTCCAAATTTACCTCCCTCTCACCTCACCTCTGTCCTCTCCAGCCTCATCAGCTGACCACTGTATCCCACTGCCTAGTACAATGCCTGGCACACAGTATGCACCATCATGGAATGAATGATCCTAATGGGTAACAGGATGCTACATCAAGAATTGTTTAAGAAACCAGGTATTTTTAAGGCCTGAAATAAAAATATGATACATATAAAAAAATAATAAGCCCGGCGGGCGTGGCTCAGTGGTTGAGCATGGACCTATCCAGGAGATCTCGCCCAGTCAGGGCACCTGTCCGGGTTGCTGGCTCCACCTCCAGTAGGGGGCATGCAGGAGGCAGCTGATCAATGACTCATCCAGAGGAGAGAGCGGGACCATCAGGGAACATTGTCTGGACTGGGTCTTAAGTAGTGAGAAGAGAGGTGCTGCAGAAGGCGGTGTGGCCCCATAGGGTGTGTGCTGCGAAGCACGCCGCTGAATGGCTGAGAGTGCAGCATCTCAAGTCAGGCGGCTCCACGTAGCTGGGTGACCCTCAGCCTCTCTCGCAGCTTCTGAGGCTCACTTCCAGCGCTTGCCGATGTCCATCTTTACCGCAGTTTCGTGCAAGGGGGTCGCTTGGAACTCAATAAATGCCCATTTCCCTTAGGCATCTTCATTTCACCTCAGAACCGCGCTCAGTGCCAGACGGGCAGGAGGGAGGGAGGGGGAGGCGAGAATAACAATAACAACAAACAGGGCTTTCTAAGTGTCCCAGACACCGATCTGATGCTCAATCCTCACAAGTCTTAAGGGCCGGTCTTAATGTACCTTTTTCAGATGGGAAGATGAGGAACAGAGCGGCTAAGTAATTTATGAAGCGCTAATCACGTCTCTTGTAAACGAAGAGAAATTCGTTAACCCTAAGCGGGCAGCTGGCAGCCGAATCTCAGCAGCCTTGACCGCCATGTTTTCTGGAGCCCCAGGGGCGGGGCCACGTGGAGGAAGTCCCGCCCCCAGCGGAGGAAGTCCCGGCCTCCCGGCTTCTGCTTCCGCCCTCACTGTCCTGTCCCCTCCGGTGGGGTCCGGTGGACGGGATGGCGGCGCGAGGCGACTGTGGCGGGCAGCAGGCGACCTGCGCGTACGACAGCTACCGCT